AGATAGATGAATGCGCGGATAGCACGCCAAAGGGCTGGGTCTTCTCAAAGCATATCGGCGCATTCGGTGACTCGATCCGTTTAGAAAGCATCCCGCTGTACATTCGAGCTAGATACATTGTCTCGGGACGGTCGTGGTATCCTATTATCGAGGCACTGGATCACGATCGCCCCGTTTTTTACGCGAGCCGCACCCCTGGATCGGCTAATTCGAATGGCTCGCAGCAAGACGTTCCTATCGATCATCGAATCACGCCAGTTTCTGTATCCTGTCCGATGTTTCACCCCGATTCTCTCCGGTTCGATTGTCTGGATCGCCTCGAGATATCCTTCACGGATCACAGACTGAATCTATTACGATCCTCGGATAAGTGTATTAGATACCTGAGCGTCGCTGGTACCAGCGGTGCCCGTCCGATCTGAATTTGACGGATTTAGTACCTGATTAAACGAGACTCGGTGTCGGGTCGTTCGGTCTTCGTGGTTTCTTCACGAGGCTGCAACTTCACGGAAACTAGAAAGCTTACTTTGAAGCATCACCTGAAAATAAAAAATTAAATTAACAACTTCGACGCTTCACTTTGTTCATGCAACAATACTACATTCTTCGATAATATTTCCTCTTGTATTATTAAGAAATTAATTTACCTTACTCCAGAAAGAGGAATCGACGAACTCTCCGTAGGGCGTGGTTCGTAATATTTGTGAACTCCGTTTCGTGCTCACGATGACAGTAGATCCACCGGGATCGTTGGAATGAGAAATCGACGTACTGGCTGCCATAAATCGATTTTAGAAATTAAAGGGTTTACATAACAGCGAAGAGTACTGCGAGATAACTCGCCGGGGGAGTGAGATGGATTACCTCATCGGCTCTGGAACTTTCTTTCACAAACGGTTATTATGAACCACATAGAAAGAAAGTATGACCGATTACGTAAGTCATTTCGCTCGCCCTTTAGGCGAAACGCGTCGAACACTAGACACGGTGTCAAAGCGATTATGTTGGAGGCTTTCAATGCAGATTACGAGCGCCAATAATGGGACTACATATCTTGCAACCTTTATTACATTATTTGTAGCTGAATCCGTGAGTGACACTTCGTTTAACAGACCCTCCGATGCGTGTTGCTTAACGGGTTGATTGTTTCGCGGGATAATCATAACTTGACCATTCAAACTTCTAAAGAAAACGTTTCGATGAAATCGGGGGTTTGTTTGTTCTTCGTGCACAATTCCTTACCGAACACTTCAAGAAAATGATGAAATGTAAAATGACATTTACCTGTTTCGTTATGAACATTCGCCGTTACCACACGTATTGTAATTAAGAGAGTAACGACTGTAGGAACACTTAATGTACTGGGAACAGAACGCGTCTCCGAATGTCTCGTCGAGAATCTCGCGAGCGTAATCATACCTCCGTTACAACAATTAATTAATTGATTCGTTCCACGGCTCCAAAGATCGAATGAAAAAAAATTGCTATTAAAATCTTGATTATTTAGATTAGTAACAGATAGAAATGTTAATAATTTCTCTTCGAGCAAGCCTTCTATCCATAGATCCATCTCTGCGAGGGAACATAAAACAGAGCAAGAAAGTTTATAAAAACGTGTACCCCATTTGTTTCCAAGTTATAGTGATCGTTGGGCTCCGCCGACGTATAGCTGTTCACGTTACATTTTCTAGTGCTCGACACGGCCACGATCAGCCTGAATACAAACCCGCAGTCGTGGTCGGAGTTTCTCAATCTTTAAAAAATCCCAGGTGTTTATCAGATTCGATCCCAGCCGGTTTCACCACTGGCAATGAACGTTGAATAAACAATTGTTTTCAAGTGGATCTGGAAATCAAAATTCAGTGGATTTAAATCCGAGCAGAGAGCACGGCTAATAGGTCCTGCACGACCTATCCATTTGTTGGGAAATCGTTCAAGAACTGTCCAACTACATCGGCTAAAATGCGATGGTGCACCGTCATGCATATAACGCTTGCAACGTAAAACATCGAGTGGAACTTCTTGCGATGGTTCGATTGACCGCTCAAGAAATTGACACACGATTTATCTGTTTATCTAGCATCAAGATAAACCTGGGTCCTGTTCGATTATCGCTAATTAATCCTGCCTGTGCGTTTGCGTCAAATTGCTGCTGGCGATTCGATTCCTCGGCGATAAACATCTGTGGAAACCAAATAGAAAAGTTAATTCTTGGAGAAAAATCTTTCTTCGTTGCTATTACTCTTCTACTGCTATTCTAAAAATTGAAACTCTCGAAAGTCTTAAGTGTCTTGAATGTATAAATTAAACTATGTAGCTACGATCTATATTACTATATTAAACATTATAAATGTTATATTAAAATTAAAATACTTAATACTATTCTAAAATGGATGCAACAAAGCCACATTTGAAATTGATATAACTAGGAGTGATAACGTTCGAGAGTCGAGAGAAACACAGTCATCCAGGATGCAATCAAGAGATTTCTAACAAACACAAAAATTTTATAAACTCCCAAGACCACGTACGATCGTTTGAAAATCATTTTCTCGGCGAAACGCGCGCGGGGGAGATCGTTGAAAAAAATCCTCGAGGCCGGGATCCTCGAGTACAATCGCCAGGAGGAAGCCGAGGGAGAGGGTCGAAGATGAGCTCTCTAGTCAAGGGACGCGACTCGAGGATCGGTGTGACGGCAGAGGGGGGGGCAATGATTGCGCAACCAGGGTGATACAGATCGGCGGGCATCTCTCGTTGGACCTGAAGGTCGGCTAATCGGGTCGACATGAAAGTGAACCATGCTCGTCTCTCGTACAAGAGCCAGCGAAGGGACGAGCGTCGATCGCTGTCGGAAAAAGTCAGGTTACGGAGTACGGGAAAGGACGGATACTCGAGCGCAAACGGACAGAAGAAAAGAGCGAAAAGCGATGGTAGGGGAGCAAGAGTATTACCCCGAACGGTATCGATAAGATATCGTTAAACGTATTAATTAGGAGGGAATTGCATCAAATTTATTTCTTTTTGTTACAATTCACCGTGTAGATAATATATTCGTATATTTAGGTTCTTGTTCCTCTATTGGAATAAATTTGGACAAGTTTTGAAAATATTATAATATGGTGGAAGCAAATAATAATTATCAAACGCAAAATTTACATTTCGAAAGAGTACTTACGCGCATGTCTGATATTTAACTTGCAAACATTATAAATTCATTAAAATAGAAGAACAATAATACTTTGGATGTAAATTAATACATTTTGAATAGTTTTATTGCGATTAATACGTTTTTATTCGACTCATCGATACCGATTATTATTACCGATATTCATCGATATAATGGAACTATCGATAACATTGCGATATTATCTCTGGCTTGAGATATTTGAGAGTACGGCGGCGAATCGGCAGAGTCTCTGTGATATCGTCTAATCGCGACGCGGGTTCCTTCTTTGTGATTATATCGGTTGTCCGACTGCACGGGGTCGTCGTCGATGGATAGACGTAGATGATGGCTGGCGGAGAGCAACGCGTGCTCCGCAACAGTTCGCGATCGTTACGCAACCAGATGCGTTGCGTATCGAACCGAGCTCGCGAGGTGCGTGTAGGTGTGCAAAACGTGTACATGCACGAGAGGGAACGCTCCAAATCGTTTGTAGCGTTACCGATCGGCACGTAACTCACCGCTTAACGATCCCTCCCGGGGTCACCGTACTGATGCTGCCAGGCAGACGCCTCAACTCGATGCCGATCGCTTCCCAATACCTATCCGTTACCTCTCGCGGCTTATTTCGCCTCGCAGGGAACTTCAGTTCCTTATTCAATTCGTGTTGTTCACTTTTACCGGGTCGATTCGGTGGCGTTACACGATCTCGCCACAGACGTTGGACAGAGGAAGAGGCAGAGGGTTCCCGTAGATACTCGCGGACCGATACGCCGCGATTAACCCTATGTAACTTATTATGCTGTCTAACGGAACAATTTCAGTTCGTTTATGGGAAAACGGAGGCCTAGTTTTAGGGTAAAAGTACCGATGTCGATGCTTTCAGGAAATAAGAGCGAAACGAAAATAACTGCTCCAGAGATACGTGTACAGGACGTTTCAGAAACACGTGTGAATGTGGGGTGTTCCAGTCCAACGATGGAGAAACCAGTTTCTGGAATTTTATAAAAGAAAAATTAAGATAATTAGGATAGGTTCCTTTCCACTATTACAAATTGCGTAAATTTTTACGTACAAGCATACATTGTAATTTTAAGGATGCAGGCTACTTACTATACATTTTCTCCTACATCAAATTCTATCTATTTTGAGTCGTTACATCGGTAGACCAAATCTGAAAAACGAAAGAAATTATTAAGTTACGTGAGTGTGATCACGGTAAAGAAAATTATCAAATTTGAAAATTGTCATTTCATTTTGATCGTCATATGCAATAATAGCACTATTTAAGAAATATTTTATTTAAACATACATAAACTATAACACGAAATATTGATAAAATATCAATTTTCGTAAGGTACCACCGTCGCAAAGGTATCGATACATTTGTATGGATATCGATAATCGATCTAGATTTTCAAAACACGACTCGAATTCTAGTAGTCGAAAGCGTTACGAGTTCTCGCGATAGAACGAATCGACTGGAATAATCGACGAGATTTTTGAACGCGATAATTGATCGATACCCGATTAATAAGATGTAAGAACATTTTAATATGTTTTTTTCTTGTTTTATTAACGATCGCTGCTTCCTTCTCGCCGATCACCGTGCGACCCTTTCTCCGTCGATCCCCGACGTCGCGGGTTCGCGAACTTCGCCGAGGGACGCTGGCACCGGGTGTTCACCGTAGCCGATGAGACTCTTCTTTCGGCTGCTGGGTGGGAGGAAGACGATCCAGAGGCACGGATCGGTATATAAGCACGGTTGCTCCGACCTGAATCTGCACAGACCAATTATTGCCATCGTTTGGCGATATATCGTCTCACTGTGCAACGAGTATCATCGGGGAGGCTCGTTCTCAGACACACCGAATTTCTTCACCGGCGAGATGAGATCGGTACGAGTAACAGTCGATTCCTCCGTTTCCGGTTCTGAGACGCGCGACAGTGACGGGCCCGCGAATCTTGCGACGGTTCTACGTATACAGTTGGTGAAACAAACGTAGCAATCTGCTTAAGGCAGTTTCGTGTGGTCTTTTAACCGATATGCATGTACGTCTGTCTGGGAAAAATTCTTATCTAGATAATAGTTTCGAACAACGAATACGAGACAAACTTGTATAAGTTACATGTCGGAGAAAAATTACAATTTTCATTCAGCAACGAAATACTTCACAATGATCTAGAAACCTTTATAACCATCTAGCTTTGCAATTTTTAAACAAAACACCGACCCAGATTTCTATTTTTGCTAAAGCAAACCTGCAACTAAATATGAGTTGGTCTTTTTCCCTGTTTGTTATTTGAATAAAATTTTGAAACGAGTACGATTTTATTCGAACAACAAGCTTCGTATTTTACAATTTAGATTATAGTTTTTGCTCGACAAATAACGTATCAGGTGCTCGTCTAATATTCGTTATTCGAAATTTCGTGTCTACGTAAGAATTGTAACTGTAAAGTGAAAACTGCCGAATAGGTTTTTTCTGTGAGATGTCTGTCGATTATAGTTTGCTCGTTATTAGAATTGTTAATAAGTGTAATTGTGTAATTGTTAATCGTTAAATAAGTGTTAGTAGAACTGTCTAATGTACAGCAGAGACGAACAAAATCTTGAAACACATTTCATTTTAGAGTTGAAATTTTTATTTCTCTCCAACACTTGTTTTTCATTCGTTATTAGAAATTGTTATCCAGGTAAAAAATTTGGTTCGTCTCTGGTGTATAATCGACACTTGAAAAGACACCTTGTGGCACCGTTGGGATACAGGAGGTAGTTTACAAGGTAGAACCTCAATTATTGAAGGAAAATGAGTCTGATGATTCCTGCAATGATCGAGGTCCGTGCAATAATCAAATCGATTCGATACTAAGGGGTTCCACTTATACAGTAGCTATCCACTGCTTCTAGTCGCTACCAGTTACTTCCCTCGCTAACGTCATTCGTTCCAAAGCGATTACGCTTTCCACTTCGCATTGCAATAATCAAGGTTCCATCCTATTAATTCTTCGAACAGATATTTTGGTCGAGAATCAAGATTTCGAACAACGAATGAAAAATTAAATTAGTATATTGTCCAGTTCGACAACGTGCAAAATTTAAGTCGATATCAAACATGGAGGATATGGTAAATTTCTTTTGTTTGCGAGAACAGTTCAGAAAAGTTAGAAATGTTATATCAACTCTATCCATTACTCGTAAAATAGAGATAAAAGATTTCAATCGTAGAACAAAATATTTCGAATTAACGCCATAAATTAATTAATATCGATCCTACGTCTATTTATTCATTGCTCTGAATAAACAGCGTATTCTATTCGTGATCTATTTGTACCAAAGAAATTAAAACGATAGAGACGTGAAGAAACATATAATGCAATGGGAATGAATATTTATTCGTTCCTTTATAGGAAACTAAATTTTCAAAAATCCAGTCGACTATATATTTCACAAGTTTTATTAGAAATTACGAACGGATCGTTTTGACTGCTTTGGTAACTCTAGTGTTAACCCTTGAGTGGATTATTGGGGCTGCTGAGGCCCTCCGTAAGTTTAAACTAATAATTATTTAGTGTATGTTAATGTAATCCTCCGTTGGTTCATTATTTTTTAAATGTTTCGAGGGAAAGTTGATTTCCATTTAAGCAATTTGGTAGAAATCAACATTAAGCAATGCAGTTGAGTCCACTTAAGGGTTGAATACGTCCCTTGACTGATAGAATCGCCATTTTTACAGCTCGCTGTGGTATTGCTGGCCGTTGCTGGCACGTGTTACGCTGCCCGACTGGAGAACACGTATCTTCCACCGGGTAACGCGGGCACCGCAGGCGGGGCAGGATTGATTCAAGCACCGAATCGAGGCGGGGGCGGTCCAGGAGGTCGAGGAGGTCCTGGAGGGCCAGGAGGCCACGGTGGTCCTGGCGCTCCTGGTAGACCAGGTGGATCTGGTGGACCGGGTGGATACGGCGGGGGTGGTGGAGGAGGATTCGGACCTGGAGGCGGTGGTGGCGGCGGATTCGGACCTGGAGGCGGTGGTGGCGGCGGATTCGGACCTGGGGGTGGTGGTGGTGGTGGATACGGTGGACGTAAGTATTGATTTTATTTCTACCTTAAAATTTTGTTTCACCTTCGAGAAATGGCCTATCAAACTGGAACATTCCGTTTATCGGCTACTGCAGTTTTAGGGTATTCACAGTGAGCTGTGTAACAAGTTCCCTAATAAAAATATACCACTAATTTTGTATAAAACACTCGATCAATGACGTCCAGGGTGTTCGAAGAAAGGAATAAGATCCTAGGAAAAATGAGTTGAAAAATTAGTATTCTCAGAATTGTAAACAATTTTCTGTTTACGACAGAATCGATTACCTCACTAGGTTTCCTGTTGAAGATTTTCCACGTCTGTTCGGTTATACTTAAAAAAAAAAATCGAGATTTAAGTCGAAAATCCAATCGTCCAATCGTAAATATTTTACGTTCACTGAGCTTCCCAGATATTGCAATTTTCATTGCGCAATATCTCGCTGTGTTCAACAAAGTTTCCCATTACAAATTGCTGTAGCCGGGAGCGCGAAAATGCAAACTGAATTGCCGCTCATAATACTATAATAACGCAATAAATATCCCATACGAGCGTTTAACGTCGCACGCGACGTTATTAAAACGTCGATTGGACATCGACTGATTCGTCTTTGGTCATCGTCGTCGCTCTTCGAGTGCTATCTGCACGCGATATCGTTCTCCATCCAGTGAAAGGTGACAACCGTGAGTCCGCATTTTCTTCCGAGAAGAAATCGCGAAATTGCTATGGATGTAAGGTTACGCCTCCAAGCCATGGGCTGCTTGCAAACTTTCCACCCGCAAAATTTTGTCGCATCCTTGCCAGAAATTGCGAAGAGAACTTTTTTCTTCTCACACATATTAATTACGTAATCCGCCTTACTGCAACAAATGTAACCGTTCATTAATGTAACACGTGAATGAGTCGGGTTCAGTGACGCAACTCTATGATGGAACTGAAGCGTACGCCTTTCGTGAGGACGCGTTTCCCATAAGTTCGCTGAAGAAACAGACAGTCTGAAACATTCCGGGGGCATCAGTAAACAGTCAGTGAGAGACTTCGCTCGCATTTCGCTAATTAAGCAGCGAAACCGTCATTATTTTTACCTACGAAGACAACAAATATTCGCCACGATAAGTTACAATATAAAAATTCATCTATACTATTCACTGGATCATTCCACGTGTAATAATATTCCATCCGGTGTTACGATCCAAGAGAAGATTTAATTACGTGTTTATATTTTCCCAGGATATCATTCTTCTAACATTTATTACGAATTGCAGCGCACGTAGGCATCGACAGGTTCAGCGTTCATCACAATAACGTCTCTCGTGAAAGAGTACTCGACGAGAAACATTGATTGCGATTATGACATTTATTATTTTGCATTGCGACACATACGATTCTGTATTAAGTCTCAAAGCCCACGTACGTTGGAATGGACACGACGAGATTGATGTAGTTAGACCGATAGGCGGACGTACGAAATCTCATTTCCAACGGAGCCCTGTAACAGTTCGAAACGATGAGAAAGTATCGGCAGGAACGACAGATAGAAATTGCTTATAGACCTAATATGTCTTGATGCAACGACCGAGAGGCGAATTAGATAATCTGTGCCACAAGTGAAATTACAGAACAAAGTAGCGGCTGTGATGTCACCGCGGCGGAGGGAAATACGCGGACAGAGGGAGAGAGAGAGAGAGATCTCGCAACGAGAGACACTTCGTCGGTTGAATTACATCAAGTATGTAAAGTATGTCGTGGAATTAGGGCCCCGGGGACGGCGAAAGAAAAGTGAAAACCGCTAACGCGAAACGCCTAATCACTTTATCCCCCTCGAGGCGCTCCTCTAATGAAGACGCGGCCGCGGACGGTTCTATCTTAAGTACGATTCGAAGTCGGTGAGAATGCTCACGGTTGCGAAAATAAGAACGCATCGGAACATCTCGTGTCGTTCCCTTTGTACGGCGTCGCGACGTGTCGAGTAATTAGACCCCCCCCCACCACCCCTCCATTCAATTACGAATTAATCTCGAGCACATTCGCGGATTTCTCCGCGGGTGTCGCAACACCGAGTCACACAGATACGCCAATCGATAAAGAGTCAATTATACGAAGCTTTGATTCCTTCATTCGACGATCGACCCGACCCGGAAATAAGAAAAATTCTGTAACTCTAGGGGAATAGAAGGCGCGTATAGATACACGTGTTACACAATTTTTTCTTTGCTATGGAAAGTCACTTTGAGGGATGACTTTGCTTTTAAAAATTTGTATCCTATTATTAGCGTTCTATAATTTCTCAAAAGTTGAACGATTAAATGGTTTGGAAACGAGCAGTGGAGATGCTCTTTTTTTTAGGTAAAATAGGCCTGCGTGTACTGTTGCGTGAATGCTCTCGTAGAAAATCAACTCTGGCTCGCGTCTCCGCGGATGATTCATAGTCGAGGTACCGCTCTGTAAAGTGTTAAGCAAACCCCGTTGTGTAACGGTTGATGAAAAACTGAGAGCGCTTTCCGCGAGTCGAACAAGGAAGCGCGACATCAGGTGCACCCGCTTGAAAATCGACGCTGAGAGGAATTTCTGTTTCAGCCGGCGGCGGCGGTGGCGGCGGGGGTGGACCAAGAGGAGGACCGGGCGGCGGCCAGGAGATACCCATCGTTTCGTTTAACAACGAAAACGGCGGCGACGGCAACTACCAATTCAGCTACGAAACAGGAAATGGTATTAGTGCGCAGGAAACGGGTCATCAGCAAGGTGAGATCAGGGCCACTCTGGTTTCCCAACAACGATATCCCTAGTTACTTTTCTTCGCGGTCCGTCGGTGCCATGTCTCGGTGTTATGAATTCCTATCCATCATCGCGTTCGACCTCGAATCCACCTGCCTCACAATGGAACCGGCGAACGCAATATGTCCGCAACTTCTAACAAGTGACTTCCAGCCATGTTGGAAACCGACTTGCAAATTTCTCCAAGGAATACGTCCCTTTAGGGCTTGACCATTATCCAAATTTTAGTCGTTACAACGCGTTGAACTGCTACGCCTTTCCATTCGTAGCCTGAAAAATAGAAATATTTGATAACTCGATGGTGTAGGGTGAGAGACACAATTTTGTAAAACTTAAAAAAAAAATCAAACATAAAAGAATTAATTACTTAAATTTTCATGTCGCTAGGTGTCCTCGACATTCGTTCAATTTGCAGCCTGGAAAAATAGAAATATTTGTTAATTTTTTAAAAATTTGGGAAAACGATATGAAGGGATAAAACGTAACTTGAACGCGATCCCCCAAAACTGTGACCAAATTTCGAATTCTCGATGGCGATCCTTGCGTTCCTGTGTTCTTATCGGTCGACTCCGTTCGCGATGAGCGATTACTCGAACAATGATCGCTCCTAACAAGGTGGAAAGCCAGAAAAATGCCCGATACAGCGAGGATTTCGCAATCCGCCCGTGCACGCTCGTTGCATCAAACATCCACGTGTTGTTCCTGGTTGCAGGCAACGGGGAAGCGGTGAGCGGATCGTACTCGTACACAGGCCCCGATGGCGTGCAATACAGCGTCACTTACACCGCGGACGAGGAAGGTTTCCATCCCCAGGGTGCTCACCTTCCAACCCCGCCTCCGATCCCGCCAGAAATTCAACGAGGCGTCGAGTTAGCGCTCGCTGCTGAGGCCAGAGGCGAGAATCAGGACACTTCCGGCGGCGGTGGTGGTAACGGTGGTGGTGGCGGCGGTGGATATCCTTCAGGGGGCGGTTACGGTAAGTTTCATCACTGTAGTTGGCTTAAAAAAAAGATTCATAGCTTTACTTTAGTGAACTTCGACTCTTCTGTCTGAATAAATGTAACAATTAAAAGATAAATGACTGTTTCTTCGTTACAAGTAGATCAGAGTTTGAGTTATAGCGTACTTCTACTTTTTCTGAGCAGGAAATGGCGGTGGAGGTGGAGGCGGCGGTGGTAGAGGAGGTGGTGGTGGCCGAGGTGGTCCCGGCGGCGGCGGCGGCGGTGGTGGCTCTTATCAAGGTCCAAATTCATATCAATCAAGTTCGAGCGGATACCATTACTGAACAACGACACCGTAAAAGTCATTGCGTGTTACACGGTCAATTTTGTTCCATTGCAATATCATATTTAGAGGCGGCCTTATGTACATAAGAATATATCGTTTATGTAACTTTTTTTATTTATACAAACCAAGATTGTTTTATTTAAATCCTAGTTCTCCCTCCCTGTAAAGTATTTGAAAACATACAACAAAATACTGTTCGAACGACGAAGCTTTTTTTTATCGTAACATCGTTGTTCTCCGAGTCTATCTAGGAACGATCGAGCTAGAACTAAACTTTATTTATAGACAACGATGTAACATAAGTTGTAGCTTAGTTCACAATATATTATTAAAGATAAATTATATTACATTTATACATAATATAGAATATTTTAAAGCTGAGAATGTATACAATTGTCGTGACAATATCACATATAAATATTCCATAAATATACAGCACAATAGAATTTATGCATATTTAATTTAATACTTCTGTAAATCGATGCATTGAAAACCGCTGCAAGGATAACTTAGCGCGCAACATCGTAATATCGTCAGCGGTAAGTTCATCGTTATAATATTATTTATACAACTGCTGACGGATCAATTGTATCTACTACAGGCTCCTCGGGATACGTTAATTTATTTCCCCTGGCAAACTGAATGAATAGCTGCTCCAACGTTGCCGACAAAACGGCGTAATCCTCGACGCAACTGAATCGACCTTTCAGATCGTTCATCGTGTTATACATTTTCTCCCACGTTGTTCCAGTATCGTTTACGTGGTACGCAAGAAATCCCTGCGAGACAAAGAACGAAATATCATTGATAATAACTTCGATCGTGGATCTAAAAGTGTTTCTCAACTATTCCGAATGGTTACCAAATTCTCATCTCTGATCTCGCACGATAGAGAAGTTTCCATGATCCTCTTTATGGTCTTAGTATCGTCGTCCGATCGATTCGGTTGCAATTTAATCATTATATCGTAACCGGCGCCAAATCGTTGCTTCAATTCTTGGCTGGCACCGATGCATACCAATTGACCTTTCACCATAATGACTAGTCTGTTGCATAAAGCTTCGCATTCTTCCATACTGTACAAATTTTTATTTTGTATAAATCAGAATACAATAGCTTTCTAATAATATGTATTACCAAGTCAAGTGAAATACCTATGGGAAGTAAGTATAATGGCTTGTCCCATTGCCTGACAGGACTGAAGTATGTTCCACAGAGACCTCCTAGCCGCAGGATCGACGCCTGTGGTTGGTTCATCCAACAGAACAAGAGTTGGATTTCCAATAAGTGCCATAGCGATGTTCAAGCGTCTTTTATTCCCTCCGCTGTAAGTACCGCTTGGTTGAGACATACAAGCGTTTAAATCTGAAACGGTCAACGTGTTCTATAAATTCTGCACGATGGTTCTTCGTGACAAATCAAACGCATCCTTACTGAGTCGATTGATCCACTTATTAACCTCCAAATCCACCTTCGATTTGGGTATGCCGCGCAGTAAAGCGAACAATCGCAGGTGATCGAATGAATTCAAGGAATTGAGCATCGCGTCAGTTTGTGGACAGTATCCCATTTGAGAAAGATACTATGGAAAAGATATAAAATATAGAAATACTAGAGACTAGGATTTATGTAAAGTGATGAGAAGAATCGACATATTGTATTTGCACCGCTGCACTACAAAAAAAAAAAAATAATATCGTCATAAAAATGATTGTACATTACATTTCTCTTGTCGAGGCTAATATTTGATTTTCCCAAATACATGGCGCCACTGTTCGGTATTTCTTCGCCAGTCAACATTCTAAAAGTAGTACTTTTCCCAGCGCCGTTGACACCAAGCAATCCAAAGCATTCGCGTTGCTTCACTCGAAAATTGATTTCTTGCACCGCCATTAATTTTCCGTAATATTTGCTCAATTCGTAAACCAAAAACAGAGTGTCGTTTTTGTCATCTGAATTTTCTGTGAAATTTATGTCCACGGCAGAAGTCGCTTTGTCTTTGTTTTCTTTTCTGCTAAGAGTACCTAGACGTCAAGTTACATTGATATTAAATGTTTTTCCAAAAGAAGTTTAAAGAAATAAATTTAATCTTTAATCGTTTTTTTACTTCGGTTGTTCAATTTCCTGATTTCCGATGCCACGGCGTTCTTCTCTGCCCGTACTTGTTCATCCTGTATATCGCACGCATTCCTCAAATTTTGACCAAACATCTTAATGTACAATTTGTCAAGTAATCTCTCTTCCAAAATAATAAGTAGAAAGAAATACACTAATGGCGTGACAGATAAATATATAATGCATTCCATCAAGTTCATATCGTTGTCGCTTTGAGAAAAATAAGGAAGTTGCTTCTTACAAGTTCCATCTGAGCATTCCAAACCTACAAAATTATTGATCTTTAATAATGCTGTGCAATATCGGAAAAAAACAGACTTATTAAAATATATATTGGCAATGTACTCATACCGCAACAAACATCCTTGTAACCAAGACAAACCACATCCAGTAGTCGTTTTGGCAATCGACGACACCTTGCGTTTTGTATAGCCACGTTAAAAAACGACAATTGACCGTGGAACAAGCTCACGTGTGGTATCAACCGGAATAATCTCTTTTGAATTATGTATAGAACGTTCAAATTTTTAAAACTGTGAATCACCCCGTGTAAGAGATACTGCAGCAGAACTGTAACACAACAATTATTATTAAGAATCTTTGAAATATTCCAAACATATGAAATACATAATGGGAAGTAACTTACCAAGTCCAACAGGTACAAGACTTAACAAAGTTACTATAGAATTTTTTGATTTATTCGCAAAGCTGAAGATGTAAGTTACCAATAAAGAGTTGATACCAAAGAGCATCAACAATAATATCATTGTCACTGAAAAACGAATTAAGAATGTAGAAAATTTGCTAAATTCGGCATTATTTAAGCTATACATGTCCTGATTCGTATAATCTATGAAAAAGTTTATTGTCTTACATATTTCTATCTTGTAGTACAAGCGAATATCCATGACAACATCCATGATGTAGAATCCAAGCACGACACTAAGTACAGATATTGTAAGTATTATGAAATCAAATGTGAACATAGTGCACCAATACAATATGGATGTAACGCCTGTCATCCTTTGGAGCTGTTTCATTTTCGTTTCTGTTTCTTGAAAGGGATGGATAATGAACAGTGCTACAGTGGGGAAGAAAAAGCAGCAGAATAACAACACTCTTGACAATGAATCTATTTCTGGCATCTCTGACGCCATCGAAGAAAGACTGTTTGGTAACTGCTGACTTGAAACATGAATGGAATATTCGTTACCAGCAATACTTTTGATCAATACATTCGATAAAAGATTTATAATTATTGGTACGCCGTGGATCGAATTGCCAGAATAAAAACCATTAGCGTACAAAACTCCGTCAGATATATTGAATTCTGCGGAGACAATATAGTTATTACGGTACGTAGCAATATCCTGAAGAGAGCGATCCAATAAAGCTGAAAAACGGTTATATTTCGTGGTAATATCTAATGATTTTACGACAATTTGCTGTAGCCATTAATTACTATATTTACCATGTGTAACACTGATATTTCGTGGCACTTCTTCGGCAGAGCCACCATAATCCGCCACTAGATTTTTGAAGTTCGTACCAAAAGTTTTATTATCACTTGAATATAGAGCTTTGGAATGCTTGTACATACTAAGCTCTAATGGAAATATATTTGTCGAATCATTAGATGAATCGTGACTTAAACTCATTAGTATGACCGATACAATTGGTAAAAATATCTGAAAGAATTATTATTGTATGTAAATTATAAAATCTTAGATCTAAGAGTAATAACACTTACTGTTAGCAACGTATTAGTTAAGTTTTTCTTGGTATAGGTAAATTTCTTTTGATACAGTGCCAAAATTGACTGCATACATAAACTCCATCCTTCTACTCTTTGCGATAATGGAGAAAATAATTCGTTCAGGTGTTTTCCATTGTCTTCTTTTTTTATAACTCTAAATCGTGAAATAATTAATAAATCAATTTTTGATCGAGTCGTGTTGTTAAGTAACGATAAAATAGATAGTGAGTGTATACTTTAAAAACACTTCTTCCAAGGTAATTAGTGAAACACTGATTCCTGTAATTCCCAATTTCTTTTTCTGGCTTTCCACTTTGTCCAGAGATTGAGGTAAAGTTTCAGAATTTGGTACGCTTAATACAATCTTCTCGCTATCCACGCTTACTTGCTGCGTTCTAGGATCGAACTTGTTTATGACTTTGTCTGAATTACACCAGGATTTAGTTGACAATGTAACTTCTATATGGCCGTAACCTAAATCATATATTATACAATTACATGCTGATATTACACGCTATATTTAAGTAATGAGTTCACTAACCATATTGTTTTTTTAAAAACATTGACGTGCCATAACATTTTAATTTGCCACCATGAATAATAGCAATTCTATCTCCAAGTATGTCAGCCTCCTCCATATTGTGTGTACTAATCAAAATTGTTTTCTTTCCTCTTGCTTTCTATAGAAAATTTAATAACATATTCAAAATTTCATATGAATTATTATCTATACTAACTACCACTAGCTACTTACTAGTATGATGTCCCATATGTCTCTTCTAGTTTCAGGATCCATTCCTGATGTTGGCTCATCCAAGATTATAGTCTAGATAAAATATCATTGAAATAAATTATTTACCGATGTATTTTTCTTATAAACAAAACAAATTTACATTAGTCCTAATAAATCGCTTACACTGGCATCACCAATAAGAGCCATCCCAAGACACAATCTTCTCTTTTGTCCTCCAGACAATGTGTCTGGAAGTACATTCCTTTTATCAAATAATTTTAATTTGTTAAGCAAAACATTAACATTCTCTTTGATTTCTTTCTTAGTTTTATTTTCACCTTTCAACTAAAATATTATATACATTTTTATGTGCTATGTATGTGCAGTTTTATTTAATCTTATTAAATCACTTACACGACCAAAGTATTCTAATTGCTCAGATACATTCAAATCTGGAAAAATCATATTCTCCTGAGGGCATAATCCCAGATCATTTCGAATGGAATCCAAGTGTTTTTTAATATTTTTACCATTTATAATAACTTTCCCTTCGGTTGGACTTATGACACCTATTGAAAAGTGCATAATCAGAAACACAAATATATTTTTTTTTTTATTATTAAAAAATCTGTACTTGTTATGATGGACATGAGTGTAGTTTTCCCAGCACCATTATGACCCAATAAGGCCGTTATTTGTCCTTTATAAAAATCCATTGAAATTCCTTTTAAAGCTTGAACTCTCTGTTGTAAAATAATTATAAGTACATTAATTAAAATTTCGGATGTTTATAATAGTTAATCAAACAAACATAAAAAGAATTTGTCCGTTTAAAATTTAAGTGTCAGTATATATCTGAAACGTACTGATTTTCGTATACAACCAGTTGTATATGTTTTTTTAAGATTGTGTATCTGTATACCAGGAGTAAGTGCACCGTTTGAGACTGGTTCAAAATTATCATTATCTATTTCATCGTAATCAAAATCTTCCATATCTTCATCAAGATTCACCTTATTTTTCCTAATATACTGTAAAATTTATTTTTATTAGACAAATATTCCTATAAAGCATTCAAAGAAATATTGTGATATTAAAAAATTTACCTTTAAAAAATAAAACAAATTTTTTCGTACGCCATACTTTCCTGGGAGTACAGCATTAACATATACTGCAAGAGAAAAATGTAGTAGAATGCCAATAATTGAAAAGATAAATATAAATCCAACACATCCAGTAGTGTTATATTGTGCATCTCCAGTAATAAACATGTTTGACCATTGTATACCGGTTACTGAAAATTCAATATATTTAATACTTGATTACAATATGTATTACAATTAATGGATATTAATATAGTTACTAAAACATTGTTACCTACATTGGGATTCATATGAGTTTACCTCTTCAAAAAGTCTATACAATAATATGTTTGGAAACAATATCCCTAAATATGGTATTATAAAAAAAATTTGGAGTCTCATTAGATTTCCATGAAGTGAAAAAGAAAGAAAGTAAACAACTGATAATATTGTTGTCACGAAAAGTGCTGTAAAAACAATGGTATTATTAATCACAGCTGTTTTAAAACATGCGTATTTTATGCTGAAACAGAACTTACGTTTTGAAAAATATGCAGCAATATGCATACCGAACAATATTAAATGGGCAACATGTGTTGTAAGTACTAGCCAAAATATAAAAATATTGCTATAATACAAGTATGGATCAACATTTCCAGAGAAAGTATTTTTAAATAGTATAAGTATCGGTACAATATAAAAAATACTGAATAATATGCCAGTAATTAACCAACTTAATAAATTCTGATAGTGTTTTACTCCATTCATTGCCATCAAAACCTGCATGTAATTATACAATATAAGGTGAAAAATCCTTCTTATCTAATTTTAATATTACAAAAAATTCATTGTGTCATAAGCTACTAACAGTTATACCAATGTATTTTTCCTTTGTTGCGTAGCCCGTTTCTATACAAAGTGGAATTATAAAAGCAATTACTGCGAACATACACATTGTCAGTCTTAGTATTACATCAGACTCGTCTATTTTCACAAATGGTGGGTAAGGCATTCTTTGTATTGACACCTAAAATACATATAAAAAATAGTATAAAGTATAACAGAATGCGAAGAACGACAATTTAATTTAATACATTTGTATATTGTACCTCTGTATCAAGCATAGAATGCTGTGCTGTGCGATTTATTAAAGATTCGTCAACACACATTTGTAATTGTACAAATGGTATGGCATTCATATATACAATATACGACGATAGATCTAATGCATTTTGGAACAGCATATTTGGAATTTTAAATGCATGTCTAATTTTATACCTTATATCATTTGTGTTATATTCTTCAAAAACAAGACCTAAAACCATGGCAGTTGGTGATTCAGTTTGTAAAACTGTGTAAGCCTTTATCATACTATCTTCAGATTCAAATCCGCTAACTCCTGCAAGAAATGAAAAACGTTAGAATAGTGTGTTATATATTGAAACAGTAACAATGTGAGAAATACATAAAACCACAAATTATTAAATATAATAATTACTTTCAAATGTTAATTTCAAACATCTTCGTGCATTTTCCACAATTTTTTCTGTGTCCTCGTTCTGAGGTACATAATATAAAAATGTAAAATCTCTGTTTAAATCTGTTAGCTCTTCTTTGGTTTCTATTGGATAATATGTACTTTCCTTAATTACATGTGGCGGCTGGACACTAAAGTCTCTTACAGCTTGTATTAATACAAACAAGGCAATTGGTACCATACACTGTAGAAAGATTGCCAATTTCCAATGTCTTATTCGCACTATAAGATTTTTATACAAAAGCAACCTAAGAATTCTGAATCTGTTTGCCATTTTGATTCTTAATTGACTGCTTTCCCTTAAAACTCTTCGGCTTCAAATTCAAATCAATAATATAGCACATATGCTTTATACTTATAAACTGGCATGTTATACGCTGCCATTGAAAGTTCATAAAAGAGCGTAGAATAAATTATGAGAATTGATGTATGAATCAGCACATACTACGGCAGAATACAATACATGTTGACCACATAACCTTGACTAACAAATTGTCATAAGAAGCACATTAAATTCATTTCTTCATAAAAACTTTGGTTAAATTTAATAAAAATTTCTTCGAATAATTTTCCTTTACTTTTCACTGATTGTCACATTATGTTTTTCTAAAAAAGAAATTATGTTTGTTATCAATCGGACCGTAAGACAAAAATTTACAATACCTTAAAAATATATATATACATGTATACATAATATTGTCTTCCGCTGACTTGAAGTCTCGCGGAAGGAATGTGGAAGGGATACACGTATTCCCACGCACGCATTGATCTTTAATTCGCTATTCGTCGCGGCAGTTACACACGCATGTGGACTGCCTAAGAGCAAGTGAGCGAGATAGATAAATGGGCGGTCCGACTCCCTTTGCCCCAGTGCCGTCCCGCGAGATATCAAGTTATCGGATCACTGTAACTATAGCACCATTTTGAAATATATCGAATACACCTGCCTATTATCGCTAATACGTATTGTATTTAGTCACGTTTCGAATGACTGGCAAATTTTCTAAATCACCATTGCGTAAATAATACTTTTTCCAGTATGAAACGTCAGTTAAATAACAGTCGATGTGTCAATGTTATGTTTTTAACGGGACTATTAAAATACCAGTGAATGGGTAGAGGGTGGTGGTGGAAACAAAAATAATGAGAATTTTTAATTAGAAAACTGCTTCGTATTATCGACTTTCCCGCATTTTAATTTATGTATTTAAATTTTCTTAAACGTTTTAAATATCTATTATAGAATCAAATTTGTTCGAAATGAAAAATTTCGTAAAAATGGCATTTGATTCTTTGGCTGGAAAAAAATTTCGTCCATTACCAAAATTCGAACGATAAAAGTAATCGATACATGCGTAATAAAGTCACGCGGAAACTGTTTCGATGAAATATATGGGTATTACACAAATTTATACATGTTAAATGCCCAAAAAGATTAATTGAAGAAAAAAATACCACGTTTCGTCATAATAATATGTAATACACGGAAATCAGCCTTAAAGAGAGAGACGTGCTATCGTCAGTTGCATGACATACGGGAATTATTACGGATCAGTGTTACTGTTAGGTTTTTAGAGATGTTGTTTCTAGTTTCCGCGAAGAAAAACAGATGAATTTGGTTTTTGCCCGGTAAATTATCGAGGGGAGAATATTTTAATGTCGACAAACTAAAAGGCGTAAGTATATTTGAATTTATGTTATTTAATTTTAAAATGTGATCTACGACACTTCATAGATACTCGATAAGCCTAAGAAAGCAACAGGCTAATCGTGTTTTCTAATGAGTGGCAATTATTTTTCTTTCTTCGAATGATACGCAAGCAAATTATAGATATAGATTGTCGTATTTACATTGTTCTTTACGTGGACTTATGTGCAAGGTTAGACAACATTGTTCCTCGTAACGAACAGCTACGTTGTACGTTAGCTCACATACGGAACTAAGCGTTTCTTGAAATAAAAATATGTAAGGCATTATTTACTGAACACTAACGTGTATTAAAATAAAGTAGTACGTCGAAAGTAACGTAAAAACTGAAGAAATTAAATGGTTTTATTCAAATATATTTTATTTATAATTATTCTGGATTGTATTTATAACAGGGATAGATAAAATTATATTTGAATATTAGATGCCAAATAAAATATATTTTTGACTTCTTAATTTATCTTATAATTATAATAAATAAAAGTATTATTTGGCTAATTCTTTTTGTTAATAACTTTTCTCAGAATCTTGTATAAAATTTTGTACAAACAAGTAAAATGAATTAGACTTTTCTATAAATTATTTTATCTTTAATTTTTACATTTTATAGACAATGCCATGGATTGCTGTTATTTCAACAGAAATGGAAGTCTTGCATCTGAAAATGAGTGTCCAGATGTCCCTAGTCCAGAAATGTTTGACAGTGATAATGAAGAAGATAAGCAAAACAATGAAACACTAACAAATGATGTGGTGCCAGTAATAACTACCCCAGAGAAACCATCTCAGGCAGACTTGGTTGCTAAGTCTGATTATAGTTTATTAGCAAAAATTAATACATTTTTAAGTGGTGTACCTCCACCACCTAAACATACAATTTGCAGAACTGATTGTGCAGAATTTCTGTTACGTATTTATGAAAATCACCACTTGTTTTGGACACCAGATGTATTATCAAAGAAACAATCGCCACAAAGTATAAATCAGGAATCTTCAGAGCAACAGAAAGAAAACATTGGTACAAACAATGCTTACCAGCGTGCCAAAAGCACATCTAGAAATTTATCTACTGCTTTTGATGCTTGTGATCCACAATGTCCAAGTAATGTTAGTAATAGTGTAGACACAACAGATGTTCAGAGTAACATTTGTGATGATAATTTTAGAATAGAACAAATAGTTCCTAGCGATAAAATTGATGCAGAAAATGATAATAAATGCGCGACAAAAGTTTTAAATGCTGAACAGATACAACTACCACCAAGTGAAATAAAAGCAGAGCAAGTATCTTTTGTCTCTGAGCAAAAGCAATTGCTTCTTTATTGCACTATCAATGAAAGAGAAGTTGCTGCTTTGGCATGGCCTGAAGCATATCATCACAAATTTTATGGGATCCAGTAAGTACATTAATAGACAATGCCTTTTTGCTTATCAAATCCTCTGAGAAATACTTTTATTACCCGTACTTTACGAAATTTTAGTTATAACAGAAATAGAGCAGTAGAAGAATTTGAAAACCTTACAATAAAACTATGTGAAAGATACATAGGAGTTGAGACTCAATCTACTTGCACTGTATGGTTTTCTAAGCAAGCACCTGGAAGTGCAAAAAAACGGAATCTTTTAGCGAAACGTGATAATGGCCAGAGTCCAGGAAAGAGATTAAGTCATTTGACGCGAAGACGAAGAACATTTTCTAGTGCAAATTTGCAAGGTTTAGCGCTCAACAATAAGAAACTACTAGTGTTAAATATTAAGTATGTAATCGAGTTTGGAATAGCCTGTTCTAGACTTTACTAATGCAAGGATTAAAAATGTTTATAATCAAGAAAACCCACCATTAAGAAAGGCAAAAGTCCAAGAGGGAAGAGTCCACGTGGGAAAAGTCCACGAATCAAAAGCCCAAGAGGGACCCCCAGGAGTTCAACAAAAAAAAAAGTATCTCGCAGGCTTGTTTTAGACGGGCCCAGTCCGGTAAAGTCAAAAATAGAAACGTCAAAGCGTGCCCTCTTTCAAAGCCCCCCTGATCGAGCCGGGCCAAGCAAATTTACATCTGGATCGAATTCTCAAACCATTAAACGCACGCTATTTACGCAAGTAGCAAAGGAGAATAATTACGAAGTGATTAAGAAGATAGAAGAATCGAGGAAAAGAAAGAACGAGGAGGAGTTGGAGGGTCCTCGATTCAAGTGGCCAAAGAGCTTGTCCTTTGACTGTTCCCACGAATTGCATAGTAACACGGTATCTACGTGGGACCGGCACTCGTCTAGTAACATAATTGAAAAAAGTAATCAGTCTTACGCCGCATCAAGACACGAACTCAGTGACGCGCATAGAAAGGTGAACATTTTCAACTTTTTTATTTCAATAACTATCTTTGATCACATGGTATAATGGAAGTGTGACTTTTCAGAAATTACTATGGGCGGTAGCGGAAGCTTTACGAAGTAAAGGAATCGGCATGACTCACCCACAATTCAAGTGCTACGCGACAAGTTTAGCGCGCACCATAAAGAAATATATGCCAGACCTTGAAAATAGAAATATTCCTCGCAAGCCAGGGAGTACAAGTGATCGTATGTTAAAACTAGCAACACATCACGTTTTATATGTAATCGCGGCAGGGCCAACAGACTGACAATACTCATTGCTGCTAGAAGAACAATTGACTGAACTTTGCACAAAGTTCGTTATTTATCAACAAAACATAAACGATCGAACGCTGGCGCTTGCGCATGTCGATATGGCGTTACGTACAAACAGTGGATTTTATTTAATTAAACATAGTGAAATGTATTTGAACTGTATTATAACAAATTGCGTACAATTCTGTGGACGCATAATGTGTGACTGTTAAGAACTATTTGTGGAGTCGATGCTCCAATATTTGATTATATTTTTTACTACACAAATATAAACAAGAGGTTGTTTTAAATATGCCTATTTTTTTATTAGCGATAAAATAGTATATATATATATATATTTCACAACTTATAAATAATTAATAAAAGGTGCTTCTTTGAAACAAAAACATAATTTGCAATTAATAATTTTAGAAACAACGCATGTATACCTAGTATATGGTTGTATTTAAAACATTAAGAGAAGGGGGGGCGGGGCGAGTAAAAAAATAAAGACTAATCGCGCTGCATTCGCGATACTCGTTTATTCATCCGCGTTTTGGTGACCTACCCTGGCGATCACTTCATCCAATATTTGGGCCAGTTCTTTGTTTTCTTTAGTTTTCTGCTCGACCAGCTCCGCCAGTGAATTACTTTTAAGTTCTGCTTTTCTCAGCATGGCATGAAGTTTAACCGTTTCATCCTCGTGTTGTTTTCGCATTGCATCCAATTCCAAGTTAGCCCTGAAATGTTTATTAAGCGGTATAACAATGCATCAAAACGTTAGTTAAGTACGATTAAATTCCATTTGGAAGCATACTTCTCAAGCTGAGTCATAGCATGATTTTTTAAATGATCGTATCGCGTTTCTAAAGTTTTTATAGTTTCCATATTTTCCTGGATACTTTCTTTCAGAACTATTTCATTATTTTTATACGTCGATACTACTCCTTTGAGCTTCTCGTATTTCTGGTGAACGTCATTGAAAGCATCCTCCGTGTTTGCCAAATGAAAATTCGTGATCTGAAGCTCCTCTTGCAGCTTCACCTTCTCTTGCTCGAAATTCGTACGATCCCTTTCTCTCTCTGTGAGCAGCCGACTGATCGATTTCTCATATTCCTCGACCACGACTCTGTAAACAGGTTTCCATTTATTCTACTTAATTCGAAACGTTATGCTCTGCAGACAACAAACAAACTTACGTCATCTGTGATTTACTCTTCACTTCCTGCGCTATTTGTGCTTGTAACTTGTTAATACTTTCTTGGAAAAAGTTCTTTTGCCTTTCTAATTCCGATTCATACTCCTTCTTCTGCCTTTCCAATTCTGCTTCATACTCTTTCTTTTGCTTCTTCAACTCTTCCTCTAATTGTAGTACGGTTGTCCTCACTAATTCTAATTCTTTGCTCATATCGATATCGTTAACAAGTGGTGTTTCCGATTTTGGTTCTTCGGTAGCCTGTTCCTAAAACATATTCATCCCACACATTAGTAAACGCATCAAATGTTTATGGATCAAATCATTTCTAGTTCTCTTCAGACAAAGAAACGCCATGATATATACTCACAATTTTCTCTCGAGGCTCTTCCGTTTTCTGCGTCATGCTGGTAGAAAGAGGACTGTAAAAAAGTAGCCTGTCTATAGCCGCTATGGCAGGATTACGTTTTGGCGTATCAATGTTTGGCGGTGTGTTTTCAGTTTTCCCATTTTGCTCCTCGTTTATAGGCGGACTATTTCCTTGGGGTAACATACTGGTATCCGACACCAAAGGGTCGAACTTCACATACAAAGATTCAGTTCTCAAGCGGTTTATGTGCTTCGTATTGCCGTGGGTTACCAGAAAGTCGAAATCGGTAGGATCTTGAAATACTGAATACATAATTGCCATTAATGATTGTGAATTAAATCAACAAGATGAATTTAACAAAAATTAAAAAGGTAACAGCAATAGAACTATTTATATTGAGAACACGATTAATACATTAATTAAAAAAATAATATTAGCGTTTCGACTCATCGGTAAATCTTGACTTTAGAGGCTTGAGGTGATCTGACATCAAAATAAGTAATTCAAACGAATAATACATCATTAGAAACCATCGTTGCTGTTTGTAGAAATAAATTTAAACCTGAAGAGGATCGCGTACTCACTGTCGGCTGTGGCACTGATAAAATTGTCAGTTTCTTCAGAGAACTCCAATGTAGTTCTAAAGATATCATCGGCAACTTGATCAGCAGCAGATTTCAGTTCATTGAAATTTGGTTGCTCGACAGGTATAGCTAACGTAGTGCTCTGTCGTTGAGGCTTGAATTTCGAATATTGTTCCACTTCTTGTTCAGATTCCAAGTTCAATGAATTATCATCAAAAGTGAGAGTCCTGTCCAATTTCTCGTCGGACAGATCCTCTTCTTTTTCCTCTCTAATTTCTGTTTCCGTTACAGCATTTATCGCGTCTGTTTCCTCGACAACGTCTACTTCCTTCGTAACCACTGGAGATACATCTACTTTCAGGCTCTCTATATTCGAAGATAGTTCGAGGTTGCTATTAGAAGCGTTATTGCATTCGGTTTCCTTGTAAACAGTACTTTCCAAATGTTCCTCAATTCCAAGCGTGTTAGGTATTGGAAACGTAGTATTGTTTAACAGGTTTGTACGATTTTCATTGCCGCTTGTAGCATTATTAAAACTGAGTGAAACTGTCTCTGCCTGGCTTCTGTGTGTATTCTCAATCTCCTGACCAGGACTCTTCAATACATTTTGCGAAGAGGTGCTTACAACTTCGTTAATATCATTAAGAGGTGACGATGACCTGGCCAACGAGCTTTTTACATTGTCCTCGACTCCGTGCGAGTCACCATCATTCAATTTTACAGAGTCTGTAAGATTCACTAAAGATACTGTAGATATACTAGGCAACGATGGCCCTTCCGCATGTTCCAATAGCGTAGACACCGAGGTTATAGAGTCTATAGTAGAGCAAGGTATAACGTTTAAAGTCAAAGGCTGAGTTTCGAGCCGAGTGTTCTCTGCTACAGTATAGGTCTCCGGCTTGGAAACCGCCGGGCTTTCTCTAACAGTTGACAAACACACTGTAGAATCTAAATTCGAGATCGTCGCGCTACTAAACGGCAGCGAAAATTCCTCGACGTTCGTTAGGCTACAGGTTTGTAGGCTACTAGATAGGTCATTGCTCCTGTCCGGAGAAACCGATCTCTCCAGCGGTTCTTCTATCACTACCGCGTTAGGAACAATCAATATAGGTCGCTCTTCGATATCGTTCGGATGATTTATCGGCGAATGCTGTTCAAAGGAGTCGTCCTCGATGACTGGTAGGGCGTTTTCAGACCCCGCCAATGATATATCGTTGATAATGTCCCCGGTGAGGTCTGCTCCCTCGGTGGCTGATGTGAACGTCTGATCCTGGCTGAGGTCGTGAGTGGTCTGAAGCTCGTTCAACGACTGATCCTCCTCGCCGTTCAGGTGTATGTTCGCGCAGCCGAGAATCAAGTCCTCGACGCCGGGTATACTGCTCGTGTACGAAGTATCCGTGACCTGATTGGAACTCTGTGGCACGGTGTCCGGGCATGTGCCGCTGCTGCTTTTGGTGCTGAGGCTGCTGCTGAGACTGTGGAAGCTGCTGGCCGAGGACAGGGACTCTGGGGTCGAGTAGTTGATTGATCCAACGTCGGCGAACTCCCGGGCGAATCGGACCTTCACCTCATGCTCTGCTATCTTTTGCAGCGAATTGTCGTTACCACTCTGTTGAGAAAAGAAATTCTATCAGTAGGAGGAAGTTGATGACCAGATATTGTTTTCAAGATTTAAAAAGGAACGAGTCTGCAAGATTTAATGTTGAAAATGGTCCTTTCTCTGTGTCATTTTGCGATATTCAAAGCAATAGTATTGTAAATAGAAGTTTTTATTATATGATCAATCCTCAATCATACAACATCACATTCTGCATCGGTTAACATGATCTACAAGTGATTTTTTCAGTCTATGACCACAGAAATTAACAGAAAAATCATGAAATGTTAATCGTTGAAAGACTTGGACCAACGCGGGGCTTCCATAGATCTCAGAATCATACAATCAACAAATCTCCATCACGATCAGTTCCCAATCATACAACATCACATTCTGCATCGGTTAACAAGATCTACGAGTGCTTTTTCAGTCTATGACCAGAGAAATTAACAAAAAAATCATGAAATTTTAATCGTTAGAAGACTTGGACCAACGCAGAGTTTCCATAGATCTCAGAATCATACAATCAACAAATCTCCATCACGATCAGTTCTCAATCATACAACATCACATTCTGCATCGGTTAACGATTTTTTCAGTCTATGACCACAGAAATTAACAGAGAAATTATGAAATTTTGATCGTTAATCCGATCCGTGGATCGAAACCGAAACACTTCGCGCTTTCCACGGATCCACAGATGTCGCGATCGCTTTTGGCGACCCGCGAACGCGATAACTACGCAGAAATGGGATTTTCGCGTAGCTTGGAAATGGCAAGAAAGCATAATCTGACGCAAAGTACCGGCGGCGTGGGCGACGACGTCCTTGCTGCAGCGCGATGCAGCAGTTTATTGATATATTCCATTTTCGCGTGAACACGACGAGTTCGCTGTATGCGTCTCGCGATCAGTTCGCCGTCCACTGAGGTGTATCAGCTGACGCCTAAGCGAACATCGCCGATTTCTTTCAGGAATTGCGCAACTATTGCTCCTCGCTGCGACTAATAATAAAATATAGGGGCGGAGAGAGAAGGATTTTGTTTTGCTGGATCTTACGCCAGTTTCGACCGCGTATCCATGCCAAGAACAGTTATGAGCTGAACGGCGATCGCGTAGTCGGGGCAAAAACTTGCACGGGAAATCGTCGACGATGTTTTACAGTACGCGAGAAAGGAAACGTGATAGATCGAAGAAGGGCACCCATGAAAATCTAACACACCCGTCTGTATATCTTTTCTTTCATTTCTTTTTCAATTTAAAAAGAATGTTGGGCAACGAAGGAAGAATTGCTTGTGAAAAAATGTGTACAAAGTAAGTTCCATAGAGTAATGGATGAGCGAAATATAGTTGGCTTTCTATTTTATTGATTTTACCAAATTGAAACGTTTCGACCCTTTACGATTTTGTTGTTTTTGATTTTTGTCTTTTTTAAGATGTAGAAGACTAATAACTGTGTTTTGACTGATTATAAATTCATTGTTTATCGGTGTGGTTTTGTGTGTATTAACTACGTCTTTTTCGTTTTATTTTCTGTTTCCGTCGATCCATTGTGACATCGTATACGTTTGCAAAAGTTCATCTCGAAGCAAGTTTCTAAATAGGAATCCCTATCTTACCAAATTGAGTTTCGAAAGAGTGACCTTTAATCTCGAGGTAAAGATCTGTGGTCATGGTCTCTAACGCGATTCAATTTACTCCTCACAGAATACAGTTTCAAAACCTCGACGAGATTCATAATGTGATTCAATCGTCGCTTGCAAGCCGTACGCTTTAAGAGCCCTCAACATGAAGATTCTCACATTTCTCGAGTAGAGACATTGCTTTTACGTTTCGTAGTACTCGAAAGGACTCTAGATTTTTCGCGAAAAATACCATTCTAATAAAGTTGTTTGTTTTTATAATGATAATGCAAACAAGACGAAAATCACGAATATCAATTTCTTGACAGAGGCTTTAAAAAGTTATTAAAAAATTAAATTAAAAAATTTAAAATCATTCTAAAAAAATTATTTTTGGTTTCTGGGGTCAATTATAATCATTTTTGGTGAATAGGCATACCCCCGAAATCCTACCCACTTTCTAGTAAAAAATTCGGGAAGGTGTAAAATTTTTCGGTAAAAAAAAAAATTTCGAATCGTTCTAAAAAAATTATTTTTGGTTTCTGGGGTCAATTATAATCATTTTTGGTGAATAGACATACTCCCGAAATCCTGCACATTTTCTAGAAAAAAATTCGAGGTGTGAAATTTTTCGACAAAATTAAAATATTTCAAATCGTTTAAAAAAAATTATTTTTGGTTTCTGGGGTCAATTATAATCATTTTTGGTCAATGGATATACCCCCGAAATCCTATCCACTTTCTAGAAAAAAATTCGAGGTGTGAAATTTGTCGACAAAATTAAAAAATTTCAAATCGTTTAAAAAAAATTATTTTTGGTTTCTGGGGTCAATTATAATCATTTTTGGTGAATAGCCATACCCCCGAAATCCTACCCACTTTCTAGTAAAAAATTCGGGAAGGTGTGAAATTTTTCGGTAAAAAAAAAAATTTCGAATCGTTCTAAAAAAATTATTTTTGGTTTCTGGGGTCAATTATAATCATTTTTGGTGAATAGCCATACCCCCGAAATCCTACCCACTTTCTAGTAAAAAATTCGGGAAGGTGTGAAATTTTTCGGTAAAAAAAAAAATTTCGAATCGTTCTAAAAAAATTATTTTTGGTTTCTGGGGTCAATTATAATCATTTTTGGTGAATAGACATACTCCCGAAATCCTGCACATTTTCTAGAAAAAAATTCGAGAAGGTGTGAAATTTTTTGGTAAAACAAAAATTTCGAATCGTTCTAAAAAAATTATTTTTGGTTTCTGGGGTCAATTATAATAATTTTTGGTGAATAGGCATACCCCCGAAATCCTGCGCATTTTCGAGAAATAAATTCAGTACGAGCGGAACTTTAAACGTTAATAACTTTTTAACGAAGCTTCCATCAACAAATTAGTATTCTTGATTTTCGTTTTATTTTGGCCTCTAGAATCTCCCATTACAATTTTTCCCAGGGGTGTCTGAACACCCTGTATAGTCTCAAAATAAATTTACACAATACTAACGACATTTTACGTATTATTAACACGTTGACTGTCGGCTGACCCACATATGGGTCGAGTCGTTTTTAACTCAGGTGTGAGCTGAATACTAAACAAATACCGGTAATCTGAAAGATTCTTTTTAATTAAAATATGTGACTATATCCAATGCAAGAGGCTTATTCTAGAGAAAATAAAGCCAATCTGATTTTACCTAAGCAAAAAATGTTCAATATCAAACGTTTCAACCGAGTTTAAATTTTCTTTAACACTGTAGAACAAAAGTATCAAAAAAAGTGATAAAAAAAGAGAAATAATTAGATTTACCCTAAAAAAAAAAATTTAATACATTTAAAATATTGATCAAATTATTGTGATCAAATGAAAAAATGACACATTTTATTCTAACATCGTTAAATAATAGTCTGTTCCCCATGTAACAGTATTGTAAATTTTATAAACATACTTTTTTAGTTATAAAATTATCAAGCAATTTTACATATGGAATGGAATATAAATAACTATATATTTTTAAAAAATTTTTTAAACGATTTGTAAAAATTTTAAAATTCACGTTACATATTATTTAAAACCCAGTACTTTCTATAACAAAATTAATTCCATTCTTGTTCAAGCTTTGACTGACTTATAATTTTATAGCTTTGATCATAATAATTTGATAATCCATTATAGTATTAGTACTGACAACGTGGTTTATATTAATTCTCAGAGATATTGAATAATGTTCCGTAAATTTGAATAATCCCGGCTTTAATTCAAAGTGGTCTAACGCGAAATTACCTTGTGGACGAGATTCCCCATGACTTCCTAAAGGACCTCCACTTTCGGCTGTCACTGCCGGCCGATACGAACCCATATTTACACGCGGGTTCACGGAACCCCACGTAGTGAACTTTCTCACTTCCCCACCTATGCATCCTCGCCCCTGACACGCTTATTTTCGACGACACGAATCATCTTCCGTTTGTCATTCACCCCTTTGTGCTTTTATGTATTTTTCTTGTTTCCCTCCCACTTCTGAATTTTCACAGCCGCCGGCCTGCTCCAGTTTTCCACTCTGCCAAACAAACTCCCGAACGAAGTCGATTGTTTTTAAGGGACCTTTGTTCATTTTATCGCGAACGCATACAAACAGCTTGCAACGTTGAATCGTTGGTTGAAATTTTTAATTTGAAAAGTCAAGAGAACATTCTAACCTTACTGTGGAAAAACTAGGGCATATTGGGGATTTTGTAAAATGAAAACTACTTTAGATGTCGATTTGAAACTATGTATCGTTGTTAATAAATAAAAACCAGCATGGATATTAAGCGATTGTGAAAAGAGCATTACTTCTATTTCGTAATGTCTCCACCATATAGTGGTACTTTCAACTTTCTATTTCTAGTTTTAAAAATATCATTGTTGCCATTTCCAATTTACGTAGCATGAACTTAAAAGAAATCTTCCAACGACACGTTTTAAAAATCTTAAAAAGAAAATCGATTTTTTCCAAATCCTTGTCTATAATATCCTCTCGAGTATGCAAAATACTAATAATCGTACTATTGAGTTTTATCTCACTAATTTCATAACACAATCTTATCTATCCTATTAATAGTGTAATAACTACGATATTAGCTGATTTCCCGAGAGAGTGAATCAATAAAACATGTATCAGCACGTTTATGCATGCTTATTAAATAACAATTAGTTCGCCTTTAATTAAATTACGAATCGTCTTACTCCCATAGACACGATAAATTCTAATTAATACGTAGAATTCTGTATTATACTCGATTGAATGTTTCAAACAGATTCTAGATGGCTTTTTTTGTAGAAAACAAACGCATTTAGAAAGTAGAACATGTAAAACACGGTAATCTTGCACGCTATCGCCATATGGATGCACATTACTATTTCCATTAAACTACACGTTTCACGGAATTAAATATTGCCCCCAAAAGGAAATGCAATCTTATTTTTCTTTTCTTATAATACAATACAGTTACATAACAAGATTATATAATTTCTTCTTTATACATTATTGCATGAACATTTTCACAAAAAGTAATTTATTTATTGTTGAATTATATTACTAACTTTCATTTTCCTGTTTCCTTTTTCAATTATTTTCGTAATTCATTTTTAGTAACTTGTACTAACACTTTATAGTACATCGTGTTTTGCAACGAAAAATCAAAAGTATTTTGTACATGAAATAAATATATACAAGATGGTCCGCTAAAATCAGACTACCTAATTATAGACACGAAAACGCGCGCGCAGACCTAGAAGGGAGTATTTTCGATTAAAATTTATTTAAAGCGTTAAGAGTCGAGCAAAGCTTGCATACCTTTCCATTCACACCGAAAATCCCTAAGGCGCCCTGGGTTATCTTTAAAATCAGTTAAAATCCTGCAAAAATTCAGATTTGGGTAAATATAAATTCAATATAAACATCAGCACTTTGGACTCCAAGAATTTATTTCAATAGAAGCGACTAGCTATTTCAATGTAATTTTGTAACGTGTATTTAAGGAATTAAAATTATCCTTTTTCCCCAGAGGAGTTTATAACTGTTTGTAATTTAACCCTTTGACTGCGGACGATTTTGACGCAGCGCAAACTGGCGTAAAGGGTTAATTCTAATAAATGTTTGATTCTAAGATCAACGAAAGATGTCGCCTTCTACCTTTCTTTCCCATGTCAGCTTATATTTCCACTGCGCATAATGCTGATTTTGGAACATCGAATTGAAAGATTTATTATAGTCTAGTGGCTATTGTATGAAATTGATATTTTTTAGGTGTGCCACGAGAATAAATATTTAGTATTTCTGTGTGCAAGAGTGCAGACCCTCAGAAATCTATCTACGACAATCGATGCGTTCAAAGCACATATGTAACATGCAACGCAGGCTGGCGCGCAGCGTGGCAATTAAAACGTTAATAACTGTTTTACCTCTGCATACCAATTACAGTATTTTAATAGCATGAAACAGATTGACATCATACTGTAAACAGACTGACGCGAACAAAATGCAAAGCGTGAAAATGCAACGAAACGAATAATAAAGTACGCTACTTTATTTACTTTTTACCCGTGGTAAAAAAACCGCTGGTACCGCAAGCAACTATCGTTCGTCGTATTCTTGCCGCGAGTAACTTCGATTAACGCTTTGATTGCTGCGTCGCCCATATATGGATGACAGGATTTGCTATTACGATGCTAGAAAAATTAATTCTAAAGTCAAGACGTCGAGGGAAACAAATTTGGATAGAATTCGTGAATTTTAAGAAGGTTACGAAGACAAGTACCGAAACAAATTTTAGGTTATGTAACTTACAACGGTCCAAAATCAAAATTTTACTTTTACGGAATATTATACGGTTTTGATCTGGCAACGCGTTAAGAGACTCGCGAAAAATCAATCGAAAGAGGTACAGAAACATCCATAGACAGTGAGCTAGAAACGTCCGTGGGGTCGTTAGAATTTTAAAAAACTAAAACGCTGAGTTCGATCGACTGACAAAGATAAACTTGTACAATTTCAACAGAATAGCCGCAGCATCGATTACTGAGGAGGTCATTGACATTTAAGCAGAAAATATCCCTGCGCATCGTTCCCCCTGAGACATTAAATTTTAATTCATCTCACGTTTTTCCCCTAATTTTATTAACAGTCGAGTAAATATTCTTTGGTACCGTTTCTTTCCAGGCCACCTTATATATGCTACACGTTGCGTATCAATGCAAAACCGCCGTGTCAATGATCGATTCCATAATCGGTTTGAATTATAAGGACATTTCCGCGAACCGTGACGAATTAGAGTATACCGTGCGCTTTTACTTGTTAATCTACGGTATAAACTGAACGCGTTCACTCGAGCACACCGTATCCCGAAGCATTCAAGCGAACGAAGCGATGCAATCAGAAGCAATTCCCTTCGAAACTCGAGAAGCCGCGCTCTCCTTATTCGGTGCGTTCTTGACATCATCGAGACCACAACACACCATTGGCGTGAGTCATTCCCATCTGATCGCGATGACAGGGGTAAACAGAAAATAGTGGGCGAGAAGTGACAGTTCTCGCAAGGGTGTGTCTCTCTTATCCCCGGTGTCTTCGTTCTTTTAATCTGACTTATAAATGCATCGTGAACAGAATTCGTATAGATATTATCGACCGAACTTCGTTCGATTGTATTCGACACGATGTCAGAACGAATCGAAAGAGGTCTAATATCGTGGCGACCAGGAATCACCCACGCAGTCTGTTTGTCTTCGCCGGAAGACCACGCACTCACCGAACATAACGATCAACGGAAGATATCTCTGGTCGAAATTCTAATATTAGCGCAGCGCATTCTTCGATCGATACTTTAGACATTCACCACTACCACTGACCAGCACGCTCGACAGAGACGGAACATATACGTGTGCGTGTATGTATGTATGTGTGTGTACGCGAAGAAGCTTGCGCTACTGGCAAAACGCTACAGCGTCTCACCTCACCTTTCGAAACGATTTCGTAATCCATGACCAACGTCGCGGCTAGACAGCGTCTAGTGTGGATCGTGCTTCTATGCCGAAAAGTAAAACCATCGGCGATGAGAGAGTCATCGCCACCGTTCTGCTACGATAATACGCGTACTAACACTTTTGCTATGGCCCTGCTGTTCTATCGCCGAACCGCGCACACGCCGCACAGGCATTATGCTACGAAGATCACCAACTATGGAAGTGGTGGGATGCGATTCGAGGCACGCGAGAGGTGCGACCAGCGTGGCGCTATCTAGAGTGACACGTGAATACTCGTTAATCTCGAGCTCGAATGTTCCGATGGTAAATTGTCGCTTCGATCTATCGATAGTAGAAATTGAGGTTATGAACAATCGAAGATGACAAACTTTTTGTTTTGCTCCGGGACACGGCTCTGGAATGTTAAACCGTTTATTTTCTATCATCTTCTCGTTGCAAAATGGTAAAAAAGAATTGTACAGCCTGCTCTGTTTGCAGTGGCTATCATTTACAATAAATGCTCCACAGCTTCGTACGATACTGATCGTATGAAATGCTTAATATGGACCATACACGGTCGAGATGTATTGGCTGTTTGTCCATAGTTTTGATCGACTGTCATTGCCACGAGAGAAATCAGTGATAAAGAAGATCGATCAAACTCGTGGGTAAATCTCCACTATTTCTCTAAGTACGTGTGTTGGCCGCTTAAAAGCCCACGCACCCGTTTGATTGTCCAGGTGGGAGGTGAACCCCTGCGTGGTGCGTCCCCAGGTGGTGGATAGGGGCAGTCGCTGAGATGGGATGCGGGGATGAGGTCATCAGCCTGAGAAGGCGGACCAAACACCGGTATGAATGCGTGTGTAAGTGGACTGGGGCATGGGATATTTGCCAGTTTTATCTAAGACCGCAGGTTGGCAGCAGGTGAGTCCTGCGGCCAACCTGGCCACGCGGTTGGCGGTTTAGTCCCATGTCGCGGGCCCCCGGGTGCTGATAACCAGGCGCTTGCGATTGAGTGAAAATATGGTGGGAGGAGTGCCTCTCACCAGGAGGGGCCTGAAAAGGCACGGTGCGGCGGGGAACTCTGTGATGTCTCACTAGAGTTCCTGGTCTCTTGCCAGGCACCTGAGGATGGTCACCGTGGAGTTTTAGCCGGTAAGAGCACTACCATGTGTCCATGAGGATTTCCCGACGTACAAAAACAAAAAAAAAAAAGGCCGCTTAAAAGCAATTCTTCGTCATGCGTGAAAGCATCGCTGGACAATACCTGTTGATACCTAAAAGCAAACGACATGGAGGATGAAGCATTGTGGTATAAATGAAGTTCAGTAAAAACACTACTTCACATTTCAGAATACATCTAAAATTTAACAAAGAGAAAATTTGTTAGATTTCAATTTGATGTAGATGCAATGCCATTATTTCTGGCAATATGTATGTATGATATGGATACCGAATATGATATTTTAAAACTCATCCTCATTAATCGACACTTTCTCTCGAGTGGAGATAGTAGCGCGTTAAACACATTTCGAGCGCAATCCAGTCCAATGTATGGTAGATTAGATTGATGGAATAAAGATGCACTTGTGGTTTATTATATTTTAAGTAGTCTTTTGTAAGCAGCCATTAAAAATGATTTTTAATATACTTTCTCCTAACTTGTTTATAGTCGACGATCCTGTATAACGCGTTCAAAATTAAAATCTACAAAACAGACATTTGAAACGCAAAACACTAAACACTATCTAGATAATTTCGTTCGTAAATAAAATTCATAGGTGTCGATGTAACGGTACAATAAATTATTGAATATAAAAAGACTGTGCCTTTCATTCGATATATGTATACTATACCATTTCCGTAAACAGAAACTCGGAGACAGGAATGCAACGTTTTTTTTTTTACAATACCGAGTAGAACCGGTTTAAGGGACAAACCAGTTTTTGTTGCATGCGCGCGAAAAATGCCAACATTTTTCACGAAAATGCTATACATGGTCTATGGCTCCGCGTCTCGAACATTAACTGTACTTTCCTTAATTTATTATTCCACACACGTAACAAATATTAGGATAACTACGAATATGCAAATCTATGCAGGATGTTTCACACACACGGTATTACGAAATGTTTTCTCTCGGCAACTGTTACGGATAGCTTCAAACTGAACAAATATTTCGATAATCACATTTTCTGTTGAAGAGTGGAAAGTCTAGTACTTACTACTTGAACATGTAAAAGACCCGCCACGAGCCTTGAAACGTAAGAAATAATTTTGTTGTATCCGCGGTCTTTGAAACAATTTGCAAGTTTACTGGAACGTCGTGTATACAGAGTCGAAATGCAAGCTTGTTTCTTTATCGCGCAAAATAATTCCATGAATTCTACAAGAGTATACCGTATATCCTTTTCGAACGTCAAAGAAATGCTCCCGCGCGAGAAGCGAAACTTATTTTGGTTTCAAGGTGCTCCTGGAGATTCAGGGTTTATTTATAGGGATTCTCCGGCTGTTAGCGACTGTTAGCAATAAAAACACACAGAAAGGACGCAACGAGGGGGAAAAAGAGACGACGAGAGAAGATAAGAACGTCGAATATGCGAATAATACGGAGTTTGTAGTTGAATACCTAGGAATAAGTTATCGAACATGGAAAAAATAAATGTATAATTACCTTGGAATAAGGCGGTTGCATTGGAGGTGAATTATGAAGGGATGCAGTGATCTCTCGAAGCACCACCCGGGTTCCTTCGCGAACTGAACCACCGATACGACTTGGACTTGACATCCCGACAATGCGTTTCAAATATTTGCCAGATACGTTGTCTGTTTCATGAAATGTATTCGTTGCTTCACTGTCGACGTACACGGATCCAGAAGTAATCACTTTTGAATCATGAGACGTTTTACACACAAATCGAGAACACTTGAACTTATCAGCGTTGGCATTCACACTCTCTTCCACGATGCTACGAACAAAGGGTCGGCTTGCTTCGAACGTACATTCATGGCAATTTTTTCGGTCACTTCACGTTGCGTTCAATCGAGTTGGTTCGATGTATTATTAGGATACGTAAATAACTCAAACTTGTAGAGATTACACGAGCAAGTTCTCCGATTCCGTCGCCGTTACAATGTTTAGCACGCAACTGCTTTCTTAACGGCCGTCTAGCGTTTGACAACTTGAATGCGAATGAAGCAGCCAATCAGAGCGCGTTTTCACGTTTCTCGGCGGAACGTCGCGGCGCTAGTATGCTGTTTTCGCGGTTGGTAATATCGATTTCAACATTCGATTATACATCGAACAGCGCGCACAATCTCGCGAGTCTTGTTATTTACGTCGTGAAAATTTCATTGTTTCATTTAAACGTTATAATACATTGAACTATACTTACTCAAAGGAAACCTACAAATTTAATTTCAAGATTTACAAATATTTATTGTCAAATTTTTCATACAAATGTGTATAAACCGCCGCGTCAACTACATGCATGGCAGTGTACATCGATCACGAAGTTGCAATCTTATTCAATAATTAATAGTCTTATACTTCGCATTCATGCCCTCTCATCCTCGCAACTTCATTTTTTTTTTCGTTCTTTACTTATTTAGTATTTCACAATGTACATACACATAAAAATACATTCACCCGGCTCGATAACGCATTGTTATAATACGTTGCGTTAAAATTAAGCGAATTATATAAAAGAATACTATTCACAATGTTCTTCTCTATTGCAGAACTAATAAAAACAGTTACTTTAAGGACACTTTTTGCAGGCACTAATGTTATCTGGATTTGTGGTAATAGTAATGATTATTAATTCACCCTAACATATTAATATAATGTAACAAGTTTCACTGCAGGGGTATAATCACAGAACTTAGCCATAGGCTTCTATGTAAGTTTACGCTTCTTAGCACAAGGCACTTTTTTTTTTATAAACGTCTATGATAAAACAAGAATATTAAATTAATTTGGTGCCACTACAGACACTATAGAAAATGGTTAACACCTTGTACTGTAAGTCTTACTATTAAAAATAGAAGTACCATTGTACGAAACAATGGATTTAAATTGGGAAGCACTATAATATTTACGATAATGCACAGTGTATGTTCTCATTATCGTGCATTAATGCAATCCCATAGTTAGTACTACATGTGCAATTTTACACAAGGCAGGACTGTTTGAAGCATTTAAACGATACCTCTTAGTAGAAATATACATTACAGTATCTAATTAAAATCAATTCACGATCCGTTAGTAAACTAAACACTTCATGTTAATGTATGAAGTGTTTGTGTATATTTAATTATGTATATGGATGCAATTGTGGTGGAGGATGTGTAGTGGATGGTGTGGTTGAATTTTTTTGACTACTAGATGGTGGAGTTAAAAGACCACTTTCGTTTGGGCTTTGTCTACCAGATTCGGTATTTGAGTCAGATTCGTTTGCATCGACGGAAGGGATTTCATCCCCTAATCGTTGCTGTGCCTTCTCCAACATGTTTAAATCGACCACATGAGTTTGTATACGATGTGATTCATCCATTACTATATTGGGAACTGTTGCCCTGAGCCCAGATCCAGAATGAGATTCCACAGGTGATATTGTGGATCTTAAAAGGAACTGAGAACCTTCTTCTGCAGCTGTTATTGCAAATGGAGTAATCCATTTGACACAAGGTGCAAGCTGCTCCCATGGAATGCGTGATACCCTTAAGGCACATTCTCTTCCTTGTGTGTGATAGATGGCTGCTGCTGCAATGTGACTGTAGGAAAACTTCAAACTTCCTTCGTCCAAAGTGGCTAGATCTATCAATTGAGCTGCTTGGGAATATTGAAGACCCCCATATTGAGGGTAAATAAAAGCATTTGGCCTTGACCAGTCACCCGATTCAATTTGCATATAAATATTAAGCCAGCCGGGGGTAGTAACAGGAGACAAATTCCATCCAAGACCTTTTAAAATCACTAATTCTTTCCCTAAAATTTCTTCCTCTGTACATGCTCCATCAGTGACATATGCAAACTCTGCTATTTTGGGTGGATATATTTCTTCAACCTAAAAAAAAAAAAAATTTCATTAAATCAGTTGTTCGATTTAAGTACAATGTAAAAAAAAAAAAAAATATAAATAAAATGTACAAACCTTGGCAGCTATAAAGAGACAGGTGATGCCTATTAACTGTAACTGATTCTTGGGTACATTTTGATGAATGGACAAATATCTGTCTATGTAATCCATTGCAAGATAATAAGTTTCTCTATGTAGCTTATATACTTCGCAAACTTCAATTAACCAGTCCAATAAAATTGCTCGCATTCGTGGTTGTAATGTTGGATGCCTTTGAAACAATTGTGGATTCCTTTGGGTAAGAGTCTTTTGATCTCCCAAGCACATGAGAGACCAGACCTGAGAACCATCAGCCCAAGAGAATGAAGGTAATGGACTAGGCCTGCTTGATACATTGGTAGAAGATGATGGTGTTAAAAAACAAGTAGCACTTCGTAGTTCAGACCATGTGGCTGGTTCTTGTTGCTCCTTTAATGGGGACACTTGATGTTGTGTACATGAATTTTCTAATGTATGTCCATTATGACAAGACTCTGTGTATGATACATTTGACAATGCCGGTACTTTACTAGGCGGATACACATTTTCCGAATCCTCAGAGATTTCTGTTGTACGTCTTTTACGTTTTAAAGATTGTGTTACCACTTTGCCCCCTTGCAAATAAGTTTGTGATTTCTTTCCCTGTAAACTGGATAGACCAAAAAAGTGACTTTTTATTTTTGTTATCATGCTACTTGTAAATATTTCTTTGGATCGAATAAAGAGAGTTTAATATCGCTATATAGCTGACCAAAACATTTTTGTAGTGGAATAGAAAATTACGTTGTAGAACGCATAATATTTTTTTTTAAATCATATACGTCACATGCATATCTTACAGAGTCATGTAGCTACACATTGGTGGCTTACAAAACAATAAATTAAAAATATGTACATATATTATTCGTATAAATGTTCCTAAGGCATTTGAAAAACGAGTGCCAATTATAAAAGGTTATACAAGCATATTTCTACATTTTTTTTCCAGATTAGGAACCTCAAACGTTTGCTTAAACTAATTAAATCTATTCTAAATAAATTGAAAACGTTCAAAACGAAATATTAAGCGAAATGAGCGAAATTTCAAGACCAAATGGAAAGTCGTTCACTCACCTCGTTTGTGGCATCTTGCTGTAGAATTGTCGACGTGTTCAGAAAATATTTTAGACGGGAATGGGCTTTTTTAATTTAAACACAAGTTAGCCGATGCTTCGATCAAATGTACGTTAAATTTCTATGGTGTACACTCGAGTATTTTCCCAGGAAAATGCCGAAAAGTAAAAGAGCGCGCGAAGCTTACATGCACCCGATCGCCATCATGCACGTATACTTGACTGCCTTTGATTCAATATTTTATATTATAACTTCCCATCCGCGACGAACTATGTAGCACGAAAATTTCTTAGAGGTCTTTCTAAAATTATTTCAAGCCTCAAGATATCACAGAACGGTAAATTCTTGAGAAAAATAAGGGACGTGGAAGTCGAAGCGCGGGAGACCAGCGCGCGAAACGATGACCAACCCCTGCTTGCAATCTGGCACTGTCACGCCCTCTATATGTATACCATAACCTCAAAGGGGGAAAAAAATTCCAAATTTCTGCAGAAGAGCCTCTTCGGTGTCCAATTATTTAATTCCCGTGCATAATCACCATTACTTTCGCGTACGTGAGCCGAATTTAAGGACTATGCAAACATGGTTCGGCACTGGCGTCGTTTGACAGACGCCTGGTTGTTGTGACGCTTTTACGTGGTAAAATGTCGTAAAAGTTCACATAAATCACAGCCCGTTAACCAGGAGAATCGTGCTTCACCGTGGCGATATGATACACTTGCATTAAAACACAAAATACTGCATGTAGACGATGCATGAATCCAAGGAGTTGCGGCACCCACGCGTACTGCGCATCTATATTTCCCGCTCGATTATACCGCGACTTTTTCAGGAAATATGTGAAAATAATGTCGCACTTCAACACGCAATGCACAAGTCAGATAAAACAGGCCTTTCGAACATGTTAAAGCAGCCACGTACTTACAAAATAATGCTTTTAAATCGCGAACTCTTGTTTGTGAATTACTTTCGCGGGAACACCGAACTAGTGAGCACCGGCCGTGTATTCGCGGCGCTGCTGTGCTATCGTACACGCGTTTCCTATTGGCCGTTACGAGAAACACAGCTGGCGCTCAGCTGATCCATCGTAACGCACACAAACGCATTACTATGCACGCATGCACTTACGCCCAGCCACGCGGGAAATGTGCGCGCGTAAATTGTTAGCCGCGATCGTGAACCATGAAAATAAGAAAAAGGCATCCCTGCCACGTATCTTGCCTACCTGGTGTCTTGCAAGTTAGAAGTTACGTTTCTTTCAACTGTTTGTTTATTTCATAGTAAGCAACCAGACGAACTGTACGACTAATGTGACCAAACTTAATAGACTTCCATATAATGCAGCATGAATTAAAACATCCCTCCGCTTTAAGAAAAAAGCACTAAACACGGGACCGTTTATCGGTGTGCCTTAAACTATATTTTCTCTTTCAACAAACTTAATTCTGAATATAGGCATGCAAATAATTGAATCAAATATCGTCAATTTACTGTATTAATTAATAAACAACTGTATACTTAAATTTTCTTGTACATTTACACATTCTAACCATGACATCGATATTATTATTATACTTTATGTTGAAAGAGAGGAAATTTTCAAACTATCGTAATAGAAGCATCGAAAAATGTCTATTTTCATTTTTGGTGATAGATAACGTTCAATTTGTTTTTTCAAATTTGGAAGTACAATATTCATGAGCACAATTTTTTATATTATTTGCATTTATATTATAATTTTTGTTAATGAACATTATCACCAAATAGGAAAATGGTAAGTGCGGTTACTACTTTCTATACAACTCTTTTTTATCAACCGATTGTTGTAGGTTCCAAAGTAACTCATGCATGGCGCTTTATTCGCAGTTGCACTTTTGTGGAAGATCTACCTATCTACTTTAAATATTACTTATGCCGTTTCTATTGGTTCATATACTAAACTATTTACTTTAAACACGATCTAACGTGTATAATATTCTCAGATCTTCATTTATTTTAACTCGCTGCGAAATTGTATAAATATACTTTCTTAAATCAAATGATTTAAAAAGTAAAATAAATATAACTGCGTTTTCTAATTTGAAATAATTACAATTACAAATATAGCAATTTCTCGTAATAAAACAGAATTACTAATAAAGTAACTTTTACTTATGATAATGCTTCGTTTATGTATATCCATTTTTCATAGCTTCAAACACAATATTGATCAAACAAAAATATAACACAGTCCAAAAGTTTCTGTTCCTTTTGATGAAATACATTAGACTAAATACAAAATATTTTTGCTTAATTTTGTTTTGATTCATCGGTTTTAGGTCTGGGTTAGGTTCTCCTTCAATAAAGAAATTTTCAAAAAAAATAACTGATAAAATTATCCAATAGTGGAACGTAGTTCTAAATATTTCAGGATTTACTTTTTTAATCGTTTCCCTTTACTCTTCTTCCCGTGCGTCACGTAGTACTTAAAATGTTGTAAATCGTTGCGGTTGTGTTTAATTTGAGAGATTCGCTTTTGTACGATTGATTGTTTTTAATCTTCTTCGAAGGAAGAAGGAGAATCGGGACACCTTGTATAATGAAGCACGGGTTCCACGTAAAAGGAATCCGATACTGGTTTTGGTAGAAAACCATCATGCTCAGTTGGCAAGCCTCGGTGACAATGTCCGCGTTGAAGTAGCACGGGGCACGGGGTACCCGACCGACACAGGCAGCCCTGGTTTTCTGGAAATCGTCAGCGGTCCGGGGCCATTAAACGCGTTATATGTATCTTGCAATTTGATTCCGTAGCGCTCGGTGCGCCGAACGGAGAATAATTTACGCGAATTCCTGGGCATCCGGGTCTCTGCAAGTGGGCTTCCTGGGGTTTCTTCTCACGTTTGATGCATTCGGCGCCGCAGCAATTGCTGCACTGTCTTGTTACTCGCACGACAATCGGGACCCGTCGGACCGAACATTTCAGAGAGACAGTCCTCGCTTACATTGTTGCGCTGATTTTAACTACGTACGTAGAATATCACCGACGTATTTTATTCTTCCTCTTCTGTTATCGTATCAGTGATTCCTTCTAAATTGCGTCACCGAGCGATGAACTTTATTTACGCGCTGTCAATTACCTCATCTTTTTTATTTTAAGTTATGCTAGTTTTATTTTTTACATTTCTCTGACATTGATATTGCCAAGAGATGCATTTTGAATATTAAAGTGTCGTTTGTTTCTCTAAAACGATTATGGTTTCAGGACGTAAATGTACATGAGCTTATGAAAGGTGATGCAGGGCATAATGCCAGTTAAAACAAAATCCCGTGTTCCTGAAAATATGGGTATCACTGGTGGACTGGTAGATGCCAGGGATAAACAAGTGTTGAAGGAAGCAGTGGAGGCTGTTGTTAATAGCTTTGCAAAGCATACCCAAGGCTATGGAAGAGGTATAATGAAACTTTTCATCTGAATTCGGCTAAGGCTTTTCTGAGCTACTTATCATCTTTTTCTTTGCAGTGAATGTAGTAGAGGCTCTACAAGAATTCTGGCAAATGAAACAAAGTAGAGGAACAGAATTAAGAAATGGAGCTTTAGTTATTTATGAATCTGTTCCTGGTACCAGTCCACCTTATGTTTGTTACGTGACCCTTCCTGGAGGATCTTGTTTTGGTAGCTTTCAGAATTGTCCTACTAAAGCAGAAGCTCGTAGATCGGCGGCAAAAATTGCTTTAATGAATTCCGTTTTTAATGAGCATCCTGCTAGAAAAATAACGGACGATTTTATAGAAAAAGCAGTTGCTGAAGCAAGAGCTAGCTTTACCAAGCCTTCTGCACCATCTAACAGCGTTGGTAACCAAGCACAAGTATGTTTGCTTGTGTATTTGAGTATACTTATTGTTGCTGGTAACATAAGTACAGTAGTAGCCCATATAAGTGACCGCGGCCGGTCCCGAGCGTGGTCACTTAAATGGGCACTGCTGTATTAGGTTTTCAAAAACTTTTTATTTACAGGGAAATGGGGATGAGAAAGAGGATCCAAACACAGGTATAGGTGCATTTCGTTTTATGTTGGAATGCAATCGCGGAAGAACAATGTTAGAATTTCAAGAGTTAATGACAGTCTTCCAATTGCTTCATTGGAATGGATCTTTGAAAGCTATGAGAGAAAGGCAGTGCAGCAGACAAGAAGTTGTTGCTCATTACAGTCACCGGGCTTTAGACGACGATATGCGGAGCCAAATGGCATTAGATTGGGTCGCAAGAGAGCACGAAAGCGGCGGCGGTGTCGTTGCTATGGAATTGGCATTAGCCGAAAGAGAACTTGAGGCAGCGCGTTCAGCTGGCAGGGAACTTCGATTTCCTAAAGAGAAAAAAGATATATTGATGCTTGCCCATGCTCAAGTATGCCCTCAGTGATTTTAACAAAAGGATCTTTGCAATTCAAAAACATATGAAACTGGTTTTGCAAAAGCTGGTGTTAAGGGAATATGTTTTTTCAATGACATACAATGTCGCCATAATGTGAAGTGATTTATCGTTGTTTAGCATCGAGACACGTAAACAATTCCGTCCTTTCTACGAAGTATTTTTGGTGATAATAGACTATTAATGGGATTATAAACTTGACGTATTTTTAAGAAGAATACTTTAAGCGAGTAACTGCCAATTTTTAAATCAAAATTATTCATAATTTGTATATACATACGTTTTGATACAAAATCTCGTCTTCCATTACTACTTTATGCAGTCTTTCCTATAATCATAGCATTATATATTCTTATCATATAGCAAGAAATGCTTGGTGATATATTGTGCTTGCCTGAGGAATAATATCAGTGATTTGAATGGTTTGTTATCAAAACATTAATTCATATGTTTATCATCTACAAAATCGTTGTTCCATATTTTATACGCGCATAAAGTTTACAAAGTATAAGCAGAATGACCGCGCTTCTGTGCAGTTACATATACGATATAGATTGTAATTGTTTTGAAAATATTTTATTACTATTTTTAAGTATTGATAAATACATGTTTTAATAAATTTTCATAATTTTAAATTAAGCCTGTCTCCTAATCCTAATATCAAGGTGGCGAAGTGACGTCAAGAGTACTATCGGTCAATTTAACGCTAACTTCTTCTTCTTCTTCTTGCATAGGATGTGTTAGTACTTTGTCTATTATTCCAAATTCCTTTGCTTGTGCTGGGCTCATAAAATTATCCCTTTCCATAGAACGTTCTAGAAAATTATAACATGTTGAAGAAAGTTGCACCAACATAGTTTCACAAATTTATGTACCTATTTTTTCTAACTCCAAGCCTGTATGTTTAACGTATAAATTGTTAATTTGTTTCTTGAGTTTTAATATTTCTACAGCTTGTATTTGTATATCTGTAGCTTGACCAGATACTCCTCCTGATGGTTGGTGTGTCATAATTCTTGCATTGGGCAATGAGTGACGCATACCTTTTGCCCCAGCAGCTAATAATAAACTTGCCATTGAACATGCTTGCCCTACACACCATGTTGCGACTGGAGGAAGAACATATTGCATAGTGTCATATATACCAAGCCCTGCTGTTACACTGCCACCGGGCGAATTAATGTACATATGAATTGGATTTTTACTACTTTCTGATTGAAGAAATAGTAGTTGAGCAATTACTACAGAGGACACATTATCTGTGATCTATAAAATAACATATTTTTTTATTTTATCAAGTCTGAACATCTATATTTTGCGTAGAAGAAAAACCAATTTATAATTTAATTTATACCGGGCCCATAAGACAAATAATCCGTTCTTTTAAAAGACGTGAATAGATGTCATATGCACGTTCACCTCGTCCACTTTGTTCTACCACAACTGGTACGAAATTAAGATATCGCTTACTTATTATTTGACCATGAACCTACGAAATTTAAAATATTTTTTAGTAATATTTAAAACAAATTAAATTATTGAGGAATTAAAATATTTGTATCTATTATGTAAAGTACTTACAGAAATTTGCAACAAACTATTTATCCTTTGTAACAACATTTTAATAATTTAACGTTTATTAGCTTCATAAAATATAAAATATTATTAATGCAAAATAATACTCGCGCAAATATTTTATAAAAAAAACAAGAAATAAAACATAACCTAAACCAAAAGAATTATTATTACAATAAACTGTTGATCAAACGTTATCAAAAATAACTTCTCAACGATACGTCAATGATAATTATATCATAATTAACAGAAAGTGTTCGAAATTATTTATTTTTCGTTTTGAGATATTTTATCTTTTGTAGGTTATATTTTATCTCTTTTAAGTTATATTTTTTTTCTTTAAATATGTGAAAATATTTAATGTATTTTATTTTCGTTCTAAAACTTTCCACTTGATCAAATTGATATATCCAACTGGAAATAATCTTTATCGTACGTCGATCGAAACTAACTTGTTTTAAACGCTATGCAACTAAATAGTGAACTTATATTTTGTTACGAGTTATTTTTATTTAAGTTGTGACAGTTGACCTAATTAATTCATTAATTTTTATATACCGAATACACTTATAATATGTGAATATGTCAAATAATTTTTTATTTGCAAAACAGTACATATGTACAGTGCTTTAATATTTTCATTGTCCAGATGAGTATTGACTAACTGCAGATTTTGTTAAAAAGTAAATCAAATTTTCTAATTACGACAAAGCTTAAACCACATTGTATAATTTACATTTCGCGTAACTCGTATATTTTTTAGATTCAACTGTTGTCAACAATTATCGGTTAGTAAAATTAATTCCATCATTTAAGTTAACCTATCTTTTCGTTCTTATAACCTACGAATTTTACGTTTGCATAGAATATATTTTTAAAATGAAAAATGTAACGAAATTTGTGTTAATGTAATTTTCGTTATGTATTCAATATTGTTCGCTACGATTATTATAAATTATTTAATGTAATTTAGTGCAAAAGTTGATAATAACTTCGTGGACTTCACACTTTGTATTAATTGTATAAAAATATATTTACAGGAACAATGAATATATCTCCATTACTTAGAACTGTGTGCCAAACCATAAATTCCGTAGCTCCAAAAATATTGTCTGTGAAGCCATTGACAAGTATCATAAATTGCACAATGCATCAAATGTGCAATAGACAATATTTATGTGCTATGCCAACTATAGGTATAAATAAAATAAGTTCAGTGGGTATGCTACAGCCATCTGTACCCACATATAATTTTACATGCGGCATGAAAACAAAAACCGTTCTACATCGTCGTTGTAAAAGTTGTAAACTAATATGGAAGAATGATACAAAATACATAATATGTAAAGAACATCCAAGGCACAAACAAGTACAGAGGAAAAAACAACCATATAATACATGGATGTTAACATTTGCTTCACAAAAGCCTGTCCGTGATTGGTAAACTAAATATTGCATTTCATAGGTGTCATTTGTATCATATATCAAAATAAAATTATTCAAATTTAGTTTGATATTTATTGTCCTTTTTAAACTCGTGGCCAACAACCTCAAAAGATATTGGAATTAATATATAAATCTCATTGATTTTCACTGAGCTATTTGTTGAAATGTTATTATTATATACATACAGAAATATCTCATCATAGACGGACCAAAGAATGTATATTCATAGTTTTTCAAAAATTATCTTAATATAATGTTTATTAATAAACACATTTTAATACACTTCATATACGGATAAGACAATAATATTATAATACAACATTATAAATTTACACGAAGTTATATTAATTTTCGTAATGGAAAAAGCAAGGTTTTGACTAGGAAATTCAACTTAACACCTGTATGTGCTGGATGCTGAAAATGAAACAGATTTTATTTTCAATTATGTAAAAATATGTATTATATTTTCAAAACGATGTAAGTAGAAAATAATTCAGCAACTACGGTCGGTATTTAAAAATGATTCTTTTATAATTTTTTTTCTGTCTAAGGTACTATGTTTTCTATACGAGTTAAGAATATTTTAGATTTCTTTTTTAATACGCAGAAATTAGCGACCGAAATTACATACGAAAATGTTGAAAAAAAAGAATCATTTTTTCATCATATTTATCAAATATTCATCTTACTATAGGGAGGGCAGGTAAAAGCAGAGCGAACATTGCGTAATGTTGTAATTGGGGAATATTTATCATAGTATAAAACGTATGATGAACAACCACTGTAAGGAGCGCGTGGAAAATTAGACAGGGTAGCATATGGGGAACACGTTGCGGAAAAACAAACCTGTTAAAATATGTTAGTTATTAACTCAAGATAATTAAAAGTGTATTAAAAAATTTTGTAGTATTTTATATAAAACTTTTCAGATTTGAAATATTTTATAATGTTGATCATAATTTGTACAAGTCTATTCTTAAATACTTACCGTGCAAGAATTAGTTGGAAAATTTACTAGAATTGTAGGAGGAATTATTGATGGTCGAACACAAGGTGTACAGTTTGTACTTGAATCATTTAGTTTCATACTAATCAACAGATATAATTTATAATCAAAAATTAGTAAATAGTCATCACTGCTATTTTATTAGCGACGAACGACATTATAAAGTTTACTTACGACATGTTTATATTATTTACGTTTTTTTATACTAGAATTTCTATTTACAATAATTTTTTATACATTGTTTAATAGGATATTAGCCAGAGTTTGATAAATTGAAATGTCGTCGTTTGTTACGCACTTCAATTCATTTTATGATTAAACATGTAAATATAGAAAGGCTACTTCATTTTATGAACAGATTTTAATGTACGATAAACGTTCTAATAAACTAGTGTTTTCCAAAATGGGGAGAATCTCAAAAATGGGTGGGTGAATCCCTGGGGCAAAAATTCCGTGTACATTTTTTTTTCATTATGAAGTTTACTTATACAATTTGTTCGGACACCCCTGGGAAAAATTATAATGGGAGATTCTAGAGGTCAAAATAAGACGAAAATCAAGAATATCAATTTGTTGATGGAGGCTTTCTTAAAAAGTTATTAACGTTTAAAGTTCCGCCCGAACTGAATTTTTTTTCTCGAAAATGCGCAGGATTTCGGGGGTATGTTTATTGACAAAAAATGATCATAATTGACCCCAGCAACCCCTTATTTTTTAATTAATTTAAGATATTATGAGTTTAATATTTTGTTTTATTTATTGCTTTCTGTAGTATAACCAAAAAAAGTATGATAAGTATGACAAAACAAATAATAGTGAAATGTACAGCTTCATATAACAATTTTGGCGAAAATACTGACCATATAAATAAATGATGACGTTGAATACTGATTATAATTGTATAAATAACTACTGGTAATAATCTCCATTTAATATACATTCTACTGATTTGTGTAATAATCTCATGTGTACTAGAAAAAAACATACAATTTTATAATAGTATATTATATGGAAACAAATTTTGATGGAAAAATGAAAACTTCAAAGCTACTCACTCATACGGATTCTGCAATACCGCATGGTAAATAAGCAAAAGATATGCCAAAATGGGTGCAGAATAAGTATTAATTAATAATAGTAACCCATGAACAAATGGCATGTATGATTGTATACCCACATAACCTGCAGCTACATCAATAGTTGCCAAACTATTCGAATTTCCCTGAAGATAAATAGTTTTAAATTAAAAATTCAATTATTTTAACTTTACAAACTCTTCATGATTGATTGTTACCTGATAAAAATAATATAAATTGCCAATCCAAGCATATACAAACGTATTTACTTGTTGTGTATTATTATCTTTAAGTATTGCTCTAATCATACTACTAAAAATTATTTGAAGTGGCAAAAGTATTACATTATGTGGCTGATGAAGCATTGCAGTAATCATAATCCATATTCTTACAAAACATGACAACATAATTTTAAAAAATTTTTCCTTATTATATTTGATCACTAATGCCAAACGATAAATATAATTTAAACTGTTTATTGCCAGTAATATCCAAAAAATTTGTACTTCATATATTCCTCTGCAACAAAGGAACTCAATGTGACTATGTAAAATCTTTACACAAATCTTTAATAGATACAACAATCTTACCTAAACTGAGGATATAATGGTATTTTGATCACATTATTGTTATGCATGTGACGAAGGTAAATACATACACTGATTACTGTATTAAATATTAATGATTGTTGTTTATACTTTTTATCCTCATGTATAAAATCAAGCCATATCAAAAGTGTAAGAGCTAAGAAGATACATTAAATACTTAAAATTGTGTTCATTTTGTACTAACTCTAACTTTAAGTGATTATTTATTATTTAATTACCAGTGATAAGAACTATTGTCATCCCTAACATATTTTCTTGTTCCATCAAGAACCCAGCTATATCAGGAAGATGAGCATACTTATCCCCGGTACTATTTAATTTCCTAAGAATCCTATGCCCAATTAATAGTAATAAAAGTTTAATACAAGTTTGTGCATACAAATATTGTTTGTAGTTTCTGTAACTGGAATTTAATATTTAAAGTTCAAATCTTTTTTATAAATAAATAATTTATACTGTTACAAAAATTTTCTTACAATCGCAAATGTAAACATAATTTTGTAGTAGCATTATAAAGTAATAGTACAAGAAGAGTGACCCAATAGAAATACCAAGTTTGATGTTCTTCTTCCACAAAGCTACTACCACTAAGGCTAATTGCATGTACAAATACACTGAATGGAAATAGCCACCTTCCTACCGAATTTTCTATTTTCTAAATTTCAAATAAGAGTTTATTAAGATGTGTAAAAATTTGTTAGATATTATTTCATTCTGATAAACTTAACTGTGAAAAGATTAAAACAACTAATGTTGGCCAGTAGATAACAATTCGTTATTAAAACAGTTATTATAAATAATGCTATTGCAATGGTAATTAAATTCCTTGTGCAAAGTAATGATATGCTTTCACATTCCCAAATGAAATTTATTGATATCCATAAGGATGTGTTTAAAATGATCAACAAAATAGTATTTTTAAATGCAACCAATGTATGGCTTTTTTCCCCCATTAAAATAAAAAAGATCTGAAATAAGTATTATATTTTAATGTAGAAATGATGCCACAATGTTTACTATAAAACTAACTTCGAATACTTACATGACACAAGAAGAATATGGCTACTGTTATTATATGGAAATCATATTTTATTAAATTATTTATAAGTGCTTCTTTCATTCCTTTAAGTGCAATCTTATAAGAAAGTACAATGTCATCTGTCATGTCATTTGGATGGTCTTTAGTATTCAACCAAGCATTATGAAGTTTTACTGCTTCTAGATATTTCTGATATGCATCTACAAGTATATTGTATCATTCAAAGAACTGTATTACCTGACTGAACATTATCAGTGTACTCACACTCAGACTTGTAGTCAGTCAGTTGTTGAAAATGGTTGAACACTTGTTTAGCATTATAATAAAGTATGAATAATGTTTTTGAAATAGGCAACTTGTATAAAGAGTCCAAAAAAACAGTTCCTAAATTAGAAAATGGTATTGGCACACCCAAAATAATAGATAATGTGGATGCAATATCAATTTGTGCTATTTCTTTAAAATGATTATCATTTTGCACACATTCTCCACCAATTGCAATTAAAGGTACAGTTGTTTCTGACATGGTTGATCCACCATGACCTCCAGAATCTTTCATCCCATGATCCCCACAGATAATAAACAAAGAAGAGTCATTATTTTGATTCTAAAGACAAGTTTATACTATTTTTATAAATACAGGAGGTAACTAATTATTATTTTTTTTTTTTTAATTGTAATATTAAACGAAATTTTTTACACCTACCCATTCTTGGACTTTTGATTGAATTTTTGCAATTACATTATCCATTTCTTTAAGTTTAGTTTTAATAAGTGGACTAAATGGTCCATGAACATGACCAATATGGTCAAGTCCTAAATAATGAAGATTCATTATGGACCAATCATTAGTATTATGTAATTCTCTATGCAAATGTCTAGTCACATTATTGTCAACCTAAATTTGAAATTTTTTGTTGAATTATATACAACTATGTATAATAATTCAATGAAAATATAAAGTACCTCATTAAAATCTGTTACAATGAATGATGTAGTACCATCATAACGATCAAATATAGAGGGAAATAATGTAAGCCAAGTATCATCCCCGTAAAATACTAATTTATAGCCATATCTCTTTGCTTGAAGAAGCACACTATCACCAATAATTGATTTGCTCCCAAAATTTAGGGCTACATCAATGAAACTAGGAATAATACCAGCTGTAATTGCCTATGTATGCATAAAGTATCAATACCTATATATATTATAATCTCAAAAAGATAAAGAGTTGGAATTATTTTAATTTAGATATGGCACCTTTATTCTAGGCATTGTGACAGTTGGTGGTTGTACTTTTGCTTGGAACAAACAAGCAGAAGAATTTGCTATAAGACTACTTGTTACAGGCATAGCTACTTTCCCAATTGATCCTGTTATAAAATCCCATCTTAAAGCATCAATGACCATAATGATTAATTTTTTTACCATAGGTTGATACAATGTATCAATCTTTACTCTACAAACAACATTTAATATTTATAAAATATTAACTCCATCATATGATAAAGGTATAATGACTCCTTTATCCTTTTAACTATACTTGTGGAGTATTTATGGCTCACCTCACATTTTCTATGAATTTTGGAATATCATTTTCAGTTGCTATAGTATTATCATAATTTATCAAAGGGAAAAATCCATATAAAAATAATGCCATTGATAGAGGTCCAATGAAAAGTATATAAAACAGTATGATAATATTTTTATCCATTTCCCTTTCTGTAATTAAAATTATGAAAATGCATAGCTTCAAAATATGATTTTATGAGTCATTGCATAAGTAAGATCTACTACTCTACCTTTCATTTTTGTCATAGTTACCAATTCCATAACATATTTATAACATTATAAATTCGACCCGCACAAGAATTTATTTCCTTTCATATCATTTTAAGGTTAAATATGAAGGGAGCCAAGAGATTAACAATTTTCGAAGTATGCATATTTTTTACGGCACACATTTCGTTTGATGCTGTAATCTATATTTCAGATATTTATTTTGTATCGTAATAAAATATTTGTTACTTAATTTCCAACTGTATCAGAAACATTCATTCAAGTACTATCAGCTACAAACTACCACGAAATACAAACGCAACCTGTAAGAGATTACCTGAGATTACCCTCCGTGGAGGCGGTTAATTTTGAAGCATATAAAACCATTGATACTAGAATATTTTGTATTATAATAGTTTACCAAACATTTAAAAATCATGTAGAAATATATTTAATGTACATAACAGAGTAAAAATGACATTCTTATACAATTACAATTGTTAATCAACAATTTGTATTTGTTACACATAGGGAAATCCACATTCTGACAAATCTGACCCAGTCTGACAAGTCGAAACCGTCACAGCTTTGACAGAATTGGTTCTATTAGTTATAAATCATATTTTGCTAGCAAAAAGCGAAATTTCTTTTTGTTCATATCTCTACGTTTTCTAAATATTACAACTGAAAGTTTTGCGAAAAATGTGAGTATAGGAAATGCTAATTGTAAGTTGCGCTGTATTTCGTTGATAAAACGCGAACAAAATCCGATCAATAAGTGGAGGCGGACTTCATTTTATCAAATAGAATTCGCTCAGTCAGCGGACGTTCGTAGCAGCGACGCATTGTGTATCGGTAATCAGAATTTTCTACGAAGCACAGTTTTTTGCTTTTCACCTCTAAGTTAAACTATCACATTCTTTGGCTCATTTAATACACCGTGAGTATGAACAAATTAAGAAAACAAAAATCCTTTCTTACGTGCTACAGATCTTTTGTTTTTCTATAGGAATCATTATTCTTAGTTTTAAGTAACAATCTTTATATTATAATTGTAAATATACATAAATTTAAGTAAAGAATCAAATCTGTAGCAAATTGTAATGTAATTTTAGAAGAAAATGGCATCAATAGAAGAGGGTTGGAAAGAAGCAACTGCAGGTTTAGATAGTGCAATCTGTGATACATGGTTTACAAAATTACAGGAGGCTTATTCTGAAGAGAAGCGTACTTATCATAACTTAGATTCACTTCGTGAGAAGTTAAATTGTTATTATGAGATTAAAGATAAGTTAAAAAATCCTCAAGCTGTGCTTCTTGCTTTATTCTTTCAAAAGTAAGTATGCTTTACTCTTTGAGAAAAAAGGAAATTAGTAGTAATGTTACATGAATTCTAATTATGTTATAGCTTTGAATATGGTTCCAAAGCTTTAGATGGTGAAAACAAAAATTTGGAACATTTTAATGCATTTGCAGAAGAGGCTGAAATTTCTCCAGTAATTATCATTTTATAGTATCTAATTAATATTGTCAGTTATGAACTGCGAGATATAAAATTTGTAAGCAGCTTTTTTATGCGTATATAGGATGCACAATTAAGAGTCTGTAAACTTCTTGATGTAGCTGCAATAAATAGTACAGCAGCACATAAAATTAGAAATGCCTTTGGTGAAGGTGATTGTCATTACTTGTTAGATTTGAATATGGCTGTGTTAGGTTCTTCTTCGGAAAGTTATGCAGAATATAGAGAAAAAATACGTGGGGAATATTCTTTTCTTAGCGAACCAATGTATACTGCATTGCGTTTAAAGGTAATGATATATCCAAATATATATTAATGTATCATATAATCATATATGCCATTTCTTATACGTGTGCATTGGGTATTAGGTGCTGCAAAACTTTGTGCAGATTCCAAATATTTTTGCCACAAAGGAATTTCGTACAAAATATGAGAAACAAGCACGACTAAACATACAAGCTGAAGTTGAATTGTTGTCATAGGACAATTAATGAAATTTGTGTATGGAAAAGTGTATCATTATAAGCATTTTGTTATTAAATATGTTCATTATTTAATTATAACAAAACATAAGGTTCCAATTGACATAGAACTGGTTCACTGTGTCAGTAGCATTTAATCTCTGTGTAGAGTGAAGTAGCATATACGTTTTTTTTTAAGTATTAGCATTTAAAGCAATTTAAGTTAAAATATCATATTATGGCAATGTAGAATATTATTAAATTCAAGGTACATTCATGTTTTATATTTAGCATTTAAGAAGTTGAGAGTTTTATATTTCTTTTTAATGCTGAGTCTTGGGCATGAATGTATATTTTTCTGTGATTATATTGTATTAAGTTTTTTTCTAGTTTTATCATATTTTATTTAATTATTAATTTATTTACTTTTTTTATAAAATTGTACTTATATTGTAAAAGTAAAATGTTGAATATTATTTTATTAAGATTCGATATGCTGTCCTTAAATAAATTTGTTCAAATATTTGCATAGATGCTTATCTCTCAATTATTATCGCGAATCAAAGTTAAGATTTATAGTAAAAATGTTATTAAATTTTTACATATTTGATTTGAAATTAAAAAGGATTTTAGGTTTTATACTGAATTAAATGTTACTTAAATTCAAAAGTGTGCAATTGATAAAATAAAACGATGCCAAAAAATTGTCGATCTGCCATATATAGAACTTATTTTATTTGATTATTTTGGTATGTAAATGTTCTAAGTATGTTATTACAAAATATAAAAATATATAAATAATTGAGTATTATTTAATACCTTGTACAACATTGAAACGAAATGTGGTTATGCAATCAAACACGACAAATTATAAGTTATAATCAGTGAGCATTATTATTAATTGATTACGTTACGTGAAAATATTTCGTGATTTTAATTTTCGATGTGTGCTCATATTTAATCAGAAGTTAGTAGAGTAAAACATATTTTTATAATAATTAGTTTACAAGCCACATTTGCATAATCTTATTTCATTTTGTATTAAACAAATAAAGTGCTATTATATGTAATAACATATTTCACCAACCTTTGAGACAACTCGTTGATTTTGCACAGTTGAGTTCCATTCTATCCGGTAGAAACTCGTAAACTTTTTATTTAATCAGCACCACTTAATCAATTATGACTTAAATCTAATCAAAGACTTAATTTTTCTCTAATTAACAGTATTTAATCGTACACGAATTTAAAAATGTTGAATGTTACATTGTTAAAAGATGCAGCTTAACTAATCTTTAGACTACGCGTACCGTTTCGATAATCCAAATTACAACGTTCGATTAATGCATCGAATCGATAATATCTCGAATGGCGTATTTTTGAATCGTTTTAAAGAGTGATGTAAAGAATTTATTTATTATTAATACAAATAAATTAACAATTATATAAGAAATATATCCATGAATTAAAAGAAATATATTGTATTCATTTGAAAATGTTAAATATACTTAGAAATATCGTTATTGATTTATTTTGGCGTAGAAATTGATCAATCAATTTTATGTACTTTGGTTTCCAAGTAACACTTTAATATACTGTAGTAGTTTAGACAGTGGTGATTCAAGTTTCCGTTGTCAATTAACATTCGATGTATTCAATAAACAATAATTATCTATTAAATATTTCTTTATATTTATTGTTTGGCGTATTATGTCACTTCAGTTAGACGTGAATGATAAAAATCTGGATAATGAACGGGAGGTAAGGAAGAATGCAACTTATTATGATATACTATAATAAATAATACTTAGTAAATAATATTAATAAATAATATTATATAATATTTAGAAATGGAACATTTATATTATATTTTACTCTTATTTTTTTGCTAATATACAATGGGAACGCCATAATTGTTTGCTTCATTTAATTATGTTTAAATAATTCTGGCTTCTTCAGATTTTCTTATCCTTTTAGGCGCCAAATTATCAGAACACCTATCGTCTGGAAGCTTATAATCCTTTTAAAGTGGATCCGGTGGATAAGATTGTGAAGACGATAATGATTAATAAACTCGAAAATATTTCTTATGATGCTGCGGATTGTCCAAAAATCTGCGAATCGGTGGCTACGGATATTAGGGAGAGAATTAAAAAATTGAATTTCGACAGGTGTTCGATTTGTTTTCTATGCGTAACTGTTCCATAGGTATCGAAATTTTAGAAGAATTCAATACGTTCAATTTCGTTTAAAATCGTGAATTTTACTTTTAGGTACAAAATTGTAGTCAATGTAGCTATTATAGAGAAGGCAAGTCAATCTGTGCAAGCGTCAATTGGGTTTCTCTGGGACGCTGAAAAGGACAATTATTCTACATTTACGTACGAGGCTCGAACATTTCACGCTTACTGCTGCGTATTCGGTCTTTACTACGAGTAAATCGCAGTTAAATGTTACAGTTGCCATTTAAAATGTTAGTTTCATTTTCATATTAATTTTAATCACATTTATTCCAACGAAAAGGTTAAATCTTCGCAATATGCATGAAGTGCACGTTTTCTACATGTCTCCGATGTCACATATAGTAAATAATATTGGGAAATATTACATGCGTATGTAGTAACAATGCCAATCAACAGGTGTGTGCATGCTGTCGTTTAATCATGTATTCGTTTATCGTTCCTGGATATACATATACATAAAAAGATGTCATCATAATTTACCTATGATGTATACCTATCATTTGTACACAATATGATCGCTTATTTATTTTTGATTTTCGTATTGTACCATTTCTATAATTCATTGATGTGCTACTATGAATGATCGAAATGTTTGCAAGATTTCTATTTAAAGGATGCTAGGAATATGATTAAAAGGAACTGTAAATGTAGATGCCATAATAGACATAAGATTTAGATTTAAATAAATTTATAATGATCGACATTGATAGAATAAGGTCACTTATGCGTGACAGTGGTCGAAAACTGCTGTCAACGCGTAAATAAGTACCAATTTCTCGTCCAGTGATATCATTACTTTTCCTTTTATTACTCATTGCGCAAATGGTCATTATCAGTACTTCCAGAAGACTATCGTTCAGATTAATTCTTTGAAGAGTGGATACAATTTCGGATGATAATACTACCGTTGATATACGTATTATGATTTTATGGGTGATAGTATATCGGTATCATTCGCTTTTACCGGTAATCGATCTTTCCGAGAACAGATGCTTTTTAGATCATTGATTAGTATTATGGGAAACTATCCATTTTCATAGTATCGTATTTCTAAAGAACAGCTTAGACTTTAATATTTCGCAAATGTTAAAACGAATGAATTTAATTTGTTCAATTTGTATTTATACAATCCATATAAAAAATATACAATTCTTGGTGTTTATTTCTATTCACCAAGTCGCATCCCAACATTCGTTTTCACAGATTTTCATTATACGACAAACCGGTTATAGAAAATGACGTGTTCCCTTATTATCCAGCAGAATTAATTAACTCTAGAATTTAAAAATATGAATATAAATCCTTGACATATAGAAGGATGGAGTTCATTGGAATTCAAATTATATTCGAAAAGGTTCTATCAAATCCTATTAAGTACAGCCTGAGACAAAAAGATAGTATGTCTTTGTTATTATTAAATGCAATTAAGATTTTCTGAATCTGCATAGATAGTAATAATGTGTATTCTTGGAAACCACAGTATTTATGTTTTAATTTGTACGATTCTGTCGACACGTACGTCGACGATATCCTTTGATATACGCATATTTATGGGCGTATACATTTTCTTGGTTGATATTGTGCGTCAAAACATACACGTAACATGCTATATTTTTCTCTTTGACTGTATTAATGTCTCAGGCGATCGGTACATGTGGTGGTTGGAAATTGTGCTATAAAAGAGGAAACCGAAGACATAAAAACAATTTTATCTCTAAATCGTCCAGCATACGAGTCAGGTGAGCAATCAGTTCTTGACCATTTGTCTAAACGACCACACGTAAGTAGTATGCTCCGACACAGAAGCTGCATGTACTTCGTTGCATAGAACACTTTTATTAAAAAAAAAATATACTTATAAAATTTTTCGTACCCTGAAATTATCAAATTTTTATCATTTGTTAACTAATACTTATATTTTGCATACATACGTGAGATTTTTATTAAAAGGTCTCACGAATGAACTAATAAAGAGTTGTGCGACATGTGTGTTCAAAAATTAATGTCAAATTATTTTCTACCCAATGTCTGCAATATATACATTTTATGATTTATGGTGTAGCATTATTCTGCAAAGTGAGAATTTAATTTGACTATAACATTTATCCGTTTCGTTAACAGTTTTGGAATTTATAAAATGAAAAGTTATGAACAAATTCGAAAATCGATAGGATAGCTTGAAGATTTCTTGCTCGATCACGTGAAAATAATTATACGACAAAATCGTGGCACGTGAATGCTGTAGCAGCACGTGCGATAACGCGTTATATAATTAGAATTGATACAATACGCTCGTCGATGCTTTAATGCAATCTTTATTATATTATTTTTTGTTAAACAAATCAATTCCTTTTTATTTCAGAATTAGAATTAAACATAAATTAGCGCTGGTAGTGTAAATAGTAGAAACAGGTCGAAACTTGATTTCTAATCGTTTTACAAACTTAGTAGCATAATTAACATTAAACGAAATGTTGCACGATTGTTAAATTATAAAAATATTCAGATGATATTTAAAAAAGATAGTTCATACATTACGTATAGAGTATACGTACAATTTTAATATTCGATGGCATAGCTTTTTTGTTTAAAAATAATCAGCGTTTCAATATTCAAGATTTGATACTTTTTCAAATAATTGTAACTTGGGGAAAACATGTTTCGTTGATCACTGTGCGAACACAAATGTATCATCGCTTAATCACTCGCAATACGCATGCACTATCAAATTTATCAACCCGCACAGTGACATAGATTTTAAGATAAAATGGCAAAATATAGATTTCAAGAACAGTCACGTGCATTGCACCTGATTTATTTCTGGAAATAACGGTCATATTATTATCAAGATTATTAATCTTTCTAATTAATTTCTAATTGCAGAGTATACTTTCTAAGAGATAAACTTTAGCACCGAGGAAATGCTGGACATAAAAACGTTTACGTTATTGATTGTACTCGTTTGTTTCGAGAATCAATTAGTGTCAAGCGATGCTGAAGTCGATTATTGTTATTCTACTGCTGTATATCCGTACCTGAACGCTGGTTCAAAAACGGCTTACCATTATATGCATGGCTTGGTTACAAATACCAGTATACCAAGTAAGTATTAAAAACTTCGAAAGAAAAGAATCAATTTTTAAATGACATTGTCTCGAAAATCACGTGTTATGAGACAAAAATTTATGTTACTTTGAGATACTTTTCATACGATCTTATTTCCTGTAGATTGCAAACCAGTACAAATTTGGATGCTGGCAAGACACGGGACTCGTTATCCAGGATCAAATGAGATCAACAGTATAAAAAAGAAATTACCAAAACTACAACGTCGTATCATTAAAAATCACGAAATATATGGAAGTAAGTATGACTTACTGAGAATTATTTAGACCGTATCAAAATGCAAGAATTAAAAGCAGGTCGACGCGCGTCCAACGACTGTGTAAGGTCATTCTTTTTCCGAGAAAAAAAAAGTGTTCTGTGTAGCAACAGTTTAAGGACAAAAAAAACGTACGAATTTTGTAATCCACCTGGGGTGAAAATCGGATTAAAACAAAGAAATCGTAGGAGTTGTTACTAGCATTACCGCTAACAATAAGAATTACAGGCAATCACTCTTCACTCACGATATAACGAGTTTTAAACTGAAGCACTTATGTTATCAGCGCCAAAAATGCCCAGATACAGTGATCACGAATGAAATTATTAATGTTTTATTGTCCCATAGAGCACACGGATGGCATCAACCGCATCTGTTCTTTTAATATTAAGGAGAAACTTTTGTCAGCTGTCCGATCATCGGGGCATGTTCGATTACTCGGACAGCTTATCCGATAGTTGGCAATTTCATACTTCGCTACCAGCATCCTTAGATCGTATAAACCACATATGTTGTACAATTTCGACCGCGACGTCCCCCGATGATACGTTCGATTCGTATCTAAAAAAATTGCCACGCTTATTTGTCAGTGAATTTTTCAATCGTGAATCAGTTCTGCCCATACATTAACACTAAATTGATCCTGTAAGACCACTGATGGACATTGTAAAAATTCAATACACCGTCTTTGACACATTGAGCTTCGTCCACTTTGCCATTTACAGATCTAACGGTTCCAGGCCTACCGCCGATTGAAATATGCCTTTGAAATCGGTATACCGCGGACGTTCGTGTTTTCTTTCGAATCTTTTTCCATTTGTCAAACGCCATTGGCAATATTTGTTTTATATTTGTAAAAAGAACGATGACACCACAGGCGATACGATTATCGCTTGCAAATTTTAATCCACGCGTAAGTGGTAGATAAGTAGCACTAGAAAGTGGAATTAGTATTCCATTGAGGATTTACCATCGTTATCGTTTTTATGCTTATCGTACTCCTTCGCGTTAAGAGTTTACTTAAAACAAGTACTTTATCGCTATTACTTCTCAGTACTCTATATCTTCAGTTAATTTTTTTATATTTATTTCTAGACGGCAGTCTGTGTAAATCAGACATAGAACATTTAAAGGCGTGGGAAGTAGATTCAACCCTTAGCAAGGACAGACAAAAGTACTTGACGAAGCAAGGCGAAGAAGATCTAAGATCAATAGCGGCAAGATACAGCAATTATTTCCCTATACTTTTGCAATCTGATTCAGTTTACGAGGAAAGAAGCAGATACAAAGTGAGTTTTCATTAACGTTTGCATTGATACCAGTTATCGATGAAAATTATTCAGGTTTTCATCTTTATTTTTATATAGTTCAGAACGACTGATACCGAACGAACCATAAATAGCATGAAGTTTTTCATCGATGGTCTCTTTGGTAATATGTCCAACATCGACACGGATATAGTGCCAACGGATGAAGATACTTTATTACAGGTTCATAAGAATATATAATTATCGATATTTAACGTAACCGTTTATTTTCATTGCGTTAAAGTATACTTTATTTTCAGCTTTATAAAACCTGTAAACCATGGTTGGATTCGAAGCGTAACTCATCGATGAACTTCGAAGTTGAAGCTTTTGTGAATGGTTCGGTAATGAATCAAACGATTCATGAAGTCAGTCAACGTTTAGGATTTGCAGATGATCTTCCCTTTGGTACGGAACGCTATATTATAAATAATTTGCGTCGAAAAAGGTTCGTTGTTCGATTAATCCATTTGTTGCAGACTCTGTTTCGACTATGTACACTGCATGCACCTTTGAAAGAGCTTGGTTCGTCGATAAACTGTCTCCATGGTGCGCTGCTTTTACAAAGGAATCGCTAAAAGTGTTCGAATACGAGGAAGATCTTTACTATTATTATTACTCCAGTTATGGTCGTGAATTGAGCGACAAGATTGGGTGCACAACGTTGCAGGACATGTTCAATCATTTCCTGTAAGTTTTTGGTTCAGTGTTTCCGTTATTCAGCTTTTATCTCAAACTCTGTGTTTTAAATATTTTAGGAAATTGGAGAAGGGTGATTCGAATGACGAACCATACGGTGTCTTTTACTTCACACACAGCACATCGCTTCAGTTGCTCTTCAGAACGATGGGATTTGCAGAAGACACGATACCTTTGAAAGCTTCGAATTACGAAGCCATGAAAAATAACAGAAAATGGCGCACCAGTCATCTCGTGCCATTTGCCGCAAATATAGCAGCTGTCTTTTACAGGTACGATTTTTCAATTCGTGTATTTTTACGATATTTTACTTAATTTTCCCACCATTGTTGCTTTCAGATGCGATTCTTCGAATAAAGTGAGATTTTATCTAAACGAGAAACCTTTGTATTTGGAGGGCTGTGATTCAGGTGTTTGCGATTGGGAATATTTAAAGGAGACATTGGGAAACACTGCGTTCAATTGTAACATTGACTTTTGTAAACAATGAAAATACTGTGCATATTGCGCGAACAATGACTGTGACTTTTAAGTTATAATTTATAATTTTAATACTTTAGAAACCAATTTTAATTTATTAGCAAATTCATTAAAATTCATTTTATATTTGACGTGTTTCTTTTATCGTTTACACATTTAGGGAAGACGTTGACTAAAAGTTTGCCTTTATCCTTAAAAATAGTAAGATTAAATGTCCCATTTTAGCCAATTTTTCCCAACTTCTCTTTACCTTCAAAATGTTTCCTTCTAACTCCTTTCTTCACTTTCGTTAGAATGTATTTTACACTCGTGTTTTCGTACATCGTTCTTAATATACGATCCAAAGATTGCGCACTCTAACAGTTTTCATGGTCAAACTAAATCCATTCATTTTGAAATTTCAAAAGCAAATTACATAAGAAGGTATATTACAGTAACAGCAAAAATGATTGGTGTTGAAGTGAGTACCGAGCATGTCAAGTGTGCCTTTGTCAGCGATTGTGTTGATGAAATTACAGTGTCATAACGTGTCATATGCATGTGTGTTCATGTTTGAAGCAACGAAGCTCGACGACCTTATATTACTGTCGCATAAGCTAGCGTGATGAACGATGGGGCTTATACGTTATAACACATTACAATTTAATGACATTTAGTTGGGATTGATATAACAATTTGCCATCTCCTTGTGGTCGGCTAATCTCACTATTATCGCTTTATCAGTTAATCAATTATCAATGTGGGAACAACATTATTTAACCACCACCAATTTTTGTTACTCATTTGATTGATATTTCATGTTAAACGTTAACAATTTAAAATAACCAACTTTTAATTAAATTTAATCTCATTTAGATATCGAACTTGAAATACATTTATGCATTTATGATTTACTATTCTCTGCAGGTATTATACAGATTCGATGAACGTTGTTGTAGTATGCAAAACACATTATGATCGTAATTTCAATTTTAGCAAACATTGTATGGTTTCGCAGAGTAGCAATTGCATAGAATATACAGGTGCGATGCAACGAAGCTTAACGACCTTATGTCAATGCCATCTAAACTACCGTGACGATTTGGTGACCACGATTGTAGATGTATACTCAAATAATGCAGTACGTAATAATTTAACACTCAGGATTTTATTACGTGGCAAACGCGGACATCATTACGATTGCATAATATAATATTACGTTAAAATACGTGTCAACGAGTACAGTGATACTTATAATAATTATATCACAATGATATCACTAAAAATTTCATTCAATATTTATTATTATATTCATAATAATTACTGTTTATCGAATTAAATAAATAACAGTATTCAGTATTTTATAGCGTGTGTAGAGATCATGTTTAAAATTATAAGAAGTTCGTGGAAGAATTCCACAACAAGTACAGCATAATAATTCGTCTGCAACCAAGGATAGCACTATCGTAGTTACTTACGTCATAGAACAAAAATCACGGTGACGAATTGACGGATCTAACAGGACATTTTGCTGTTCGTACTTTAAAGATATTAATAAATGATAATTGTATAGCAGAACAAGAATGAATGATATGTAAAGCTCCTTCTCATATTAAAAGATTTACTGTGGGCTATTTTGATCACTCTACCGAAGAAAGGAAATTAATGACACCTAGAAGGGAACAAGTGATAATTACACGCATAAGGATAGGACATTCTAGAATGACTCACTCTTGCTTATTGTCACGAAACACTGCACCTATATCTGATAAGTGCTCCGAGAGAATGACAATTGAACACCTCGTGATAACCTGTTCCAAATACTACAGGACATTTACAGGTCATTAAATAAAAAAAAAAGAGGCTAATTGTCAAAATTAAATAGTCCTGGATCTCTTTATTTCAAATTTTTATATCTCCCCCCAAAAACCGAAACAAAAATATACATCGCTTCCTGTAAATAATTCTTATTCTATTGAATTTTATTTTAGGCAAATTCAAGTCTCTTTTATCGAGAATTAATTTTCAAACTTCAAGGAGTAACCAGTTTTTAAATCTTGTTTCCCAAAGTTAAGCCTCGAAATATAAAGAATTTTTTTATTCGCGTTTAAAAATTTCTATTTTCCGGGTGGTAATGCAAGAACAGAGGGTTTTTAACGAGCCATATTAATGTGACTTAGGGGTTCTGTTTCGCGTTTCGTACGCCCTTTATATCGATCGTGCGTGCCCGAAGTAACGAACCTTTATGATTTTATGTTGCTCACGAAATACTATGCTGTACCGGGAAAGGATCAAATGCTGCAATCCGTAATACACTATTCAAGGGGACTCTATGGCTGGAACTGTACGACTTTTACACACAATATACGGTAGAAGCAACGAAGCTCGACGACCTTACGGCAGTGCCACACGAGCTACCGCCTCGAAAGGTGGTCGCGATCGGCATACCGACTGGTGTACGTTGCATTTGACGCTCTTTTCACGGTTCGCTTATATTTTAAGCGGTGATACGGTGTAAGTTTCCGCGGCATAATTGCACGAATTAAACCAGAATCAACGAGGCTCGTCGCTCGCGATCGGTTGTCCCTCGAATCGCGAACTTCTCTAAAATCCGTTCGATCGTACGTTTCTCTCGAGAAAAAAAGGAGCGCAGACACGATATTCCTGCGAATAATCGAACGGTACTCGTCGAACCGATCGTTTCGAACGGCATCGAGCAGCAATCTTCGTTCGAAGGACAATGTAAATGTTAAAAAAACGATCGTTCGCTCGGTAGATCGATCGCGATTCGTGTGTCGAGCATCGTTCAAACTGATTTAATTCGTGTTTAACATAATAAGAGGTCAACGTACTTTACCGATCGAGTAAAAGTGAAAAGTTGCTAGTGTGAATCGTACTCTCTCTTTTCAGCCTTTTATCTAGGTTCTCGTGCTCGATTTAATGCGCCTAAACAGGGCGTGAAGTCAAACATCAAGTTTCATCTTTACGGTAAATTCTCAATTAATATACAGTTTTATACTTTTCTTTGTAACCATCGATTTCCATTTTCGTATGCTGATTATTTGTCATTGATATGAAGTTCGTTTAGTTTATTATGCGTATATTTAATAAACAATATAAACTCCGTGTAACGAGTGTAACGTGAACCACAATATTTCCTTAAAATTGTGCACGAGTACAGTGTTGAAAAATATTTAAGGTAGGTCATGGGAGTCAGCCAGTGCAATGCAGTGGTGTCATTACGGGCAACAAAATTTATCTCATTCGGCATTCCACTAAGCGCCGCTTACGCATCTAGGAGGAATTTCATTTGAATAAATAAACCCACCCGTGAATAATTAAATCGTTGAATGGTAGCAACAAGGATCGCCAAGCGTGACGTCGACGTCCTACTTTTGTTCCCAATTATCAAGCACAGGTTACTGTCCACCGTTATTTATTACGCGGTGGTAAACTGTCCTGTTCTTCGTCGCGACCGGCGATGACTGGTTGCTGTAATCGAACAAAAATAAACAGGGAATTACACTGATAACGAATCAACGAGGAAAACATTCGAGGCTTCGTTCGATCGAACGTCGAATTATTTACGTTTAAAAATGTTCACTCTCGACTTGAAATTCAAATTAAGGAGAAATGGTTTCGTTCGTGGCAGCAAGGTTGAAGATACGCGACGCAGAATTATTATAGTTTTGTAGTAAAATGAAATCAGTACTGGCCGTACACGGCACTTGATACTTGCGGACACGAGACATTAACAATAAGTAGGCCAAGTAGACTTATTAGACTGAAAGAAGGCTTTGCTAATCGAGTCACTGCCTATTACATTATCCTCAACGATACTTACTCTTAAATTGTTCTTTTAACCGGATCCCGCCTTCATGGGTTCTTAATGATTCCTCGAAAATTTTATTCGAGCAGCTTCATCGTGCATAAAAAATTACCAAAATCATTTGCACGTAACGATCGGTAACTTTCTGATTCGTTAGCGTACTTTGGAAAATTAAAATCCTGGAATTTTTAGAACCTGTTAATAGAACGTTAACTCTTTAGTTCGTAAATTCAGCGGCGTTGGAAGTGTACGAACTCAAAATAATCTTTGCGAAACAGTCGACGCGAATTAACAGTTCGAGGTGCAAATTTGAACCAGGTGTCCTGATAACAGGAAGACAAACGTTACGGTTGAGAATCGGTTGCAAAAGTAATCGCATCACGACGTCTAACGCTTCAGCAAAACTTGTTTCTTGCCCGGGAATTATGCAATATGGCCGCTCGTGCGCGTAATGCGTGAACACATCTTAACTTTCACATTCATATTTCGCATCTATCCTTAACCTTGATGAACTATTAGTATCTGTTGCACGCAATTCCCAAAGCAGCTCTTTTCGAGCTACAGACCGAGGAAATCTGTCGAACGACAATTTTGTCGACGAAGCGAATGATATTTCGAAGCATCGAAACGATACGAAATTAGATAAATAATTTTAAATAAATATTCACGGGTCTGTTAGAAACGATGTTGATTCATTAAGTTAGTGCGTGTGTTGAGTTATTGATTATATAAGTCTTAAGGACGCCAAGGATAATTTGCTCTTTGTTTTTTCATTATAGCCATGAAAAATAAGAAACTAATAAATATCCTTCTGGTTATATAAGAACAATTTCACGTTTAGTTGGTTACAATTTACAACGTTCGTAGTAACATGTGACATCAGCAGAGGAAAATGTAGGTTTATTTGCTCGTTGTACTTCGACTATACGAAGCGTTCTATGTGTTCATAAAATGCATACACGTACAGGGCTTTATATTTTAATAACTAGCGTAAAATAAATCCTCGATAACTTTGGTAAAAAAAATTCGAAATATTTGTTTCGAAAATTATAATCGATTTTCGTATTTTCAGGTCCGATAATGGCTTCTAAAATGAACGTTTCCGTGTTGTTGGTGATTTTTTTAATAAATCTTGTATACACGCGCGATATTGACTATTGTTTCGCGGACGAAAACGACCCGTACTTGTACGTGGCCACCAAAACTGCCTACCATTTCGTTCACGCCGGTAAAACTCGGTTTCAAGATGTACCAAGTAAGTGATCCATAAATAATAAATTGAAATTCTTCGAACACACAGGATCGAACGTGTTCCGATAATCTGTCGATTGTTTCGTAGACTGTCAAGCAGAGCAAATTTGGATGCTCGCCACTCACGGCACACGTTGCCCATCGGAAATGGAAATCGCTGATATGCTCACATTAACGGAAATACAGAGCCAGATAATTAACAATCACGAAACACGGAAAAGTGAGTAGATTTCTCTACGCAATTTTAACAACGATTTAAATAGAAATAAATAGAAATTTATTCGTCTTGCAAGCTAACTGGACAGCTCCTTAAAAATTCTTAAAGTAGGTTTATTGCACGGTAATGAAACTTAAGAGTAAAAACTACTTCCTTTGCAGTGGAAGCAAGTAAACCAGTCCGCCGCTAATTCAGGTCATTGACACTTTTTCGTATCGATCTTTGCTACGCGTCGTTTTACGTATTGATCAATAGACACATTCCTAGCACTGTACCTTAGATTTATGGATTTGTCGTATAAGGTCTGTCTCTCTAAATTAGAACACGCTTATCGTCGATATTAAACTTTTCTCGTTACGCGATCGTTCTGTCCAAATGTATTTTTGTAACGCGCGAGCAGCGACGTTTCGCGATCGATCCGTGCATCCTTCCCGTACTTCTTTTGTCCCGCAGACGGTCACATATGCGACAGGGACTTGGAAAACTTGAAAAGATGGAAGACGGACGCTTACCTTGTAATGGAAAGGGCGGAAGTTTTGACACCGCAAGGCGTCGAAGATATGAAATTGCTCGCGAGACGATTGCACAGCCATTTCCCTCAGCTTCTGCAACAGAGCAGCGAGAACATAACGCCAGAAAATTATGTGGTACTCGCAATCGTTAAAAATAAAAATCGTCAAGTAGCGACGATTCTCACGTTATAAATAAATTGTGTTCAGTTTAAAACCATCGATGGCCGCGACAGCATGGGATCGTTCATGGACGGACTGTTCGGGGACAGAAATGCAGTAAACGCGGAAGAACTTTCCGCGAACGACACTTTGCTTTCTGTAAGTAATTAAGATCGCGATAACGACGAGTTAGGTAAAAGAGTTCTTACGAAAACGTGTTCCTCTTACGTAATTATTACCAACACAAAATCTGTTGATATACCTTTAAATTCTAAATTTCAATTTTCCCCAAGATTTTCGCTCCAATGTCCAGACTCGCAGCATCTGAATTTTCGAAATGATTTCGTCGCGGTTAAAGTGAAATGCGATTTCTAACACTGTTCTTCCAGGCATATAAAACATGCAACACGTGGGGCAACGAGTACAATAACATTTCCACCGAAGTCGTGAGCAAATTTGAGGAACAGCCGCAATTCCAGAACCTTATACAGAACGTCAGTCGTCGCCTCGGTTATCTATACAATATCTCGAAACGTGAGTCGCGTTCACGCCTCGGATGTACAAAATTTTTACGAGCATCACGAAGTATATCACCCTTTTAGGTTCAATCCTAACGATGTACGACATTTGTCGTTACGAAAAGGCTTGGGCAGTGTCGAAACTTTCTCCCTGGTGTGCTGTTTTCAGCAAAGAGGAGCTCCGCGTGCTGGAGTATCGCGAGGATCTTTACTACTATTACAAAGCCGGATATGGACGCGCAATCAATGCGCAGCTAGGATGTACGCTGTTGCAAGACATGATGAATCACTTTTGGTAACTATTGTTTTTTGTCTCTTGAGCGAAATTTCCTTCCACTTTCGCTAATCGTGTAACGACCCCCTCATTGCTACGTAATGCTACTAAATTTTCTCAATTTACGTTATTTCTATGCCGGTGATTGCATGTAATGTCCTTTCAGGAAAATGGAAAAGAACACAGATTCCGTCGAGCCGGAGGGCATATTTTACTTCAGCGATATTATAAGTCTGCAGAATCTCCTGACTACGTTGAACATAAATAAAGATCATATGCAACTGACTCCTTTCAATTACGACGACATGGCGAAACGTCAATGGCGGACTTCTTTCATTTCACCATTCGCAGCGAATTTTGTCGCGGTGTTCTACAAGTAAGTTCAGTTCAGCCAAGAATTGGATTTGGAAATAGTTAAAGTTCATTTAAACATTCTTCACTGGTTTCACTTTTCATTTATTGATTGCTGATACAAGTAAAGTTGTTAAATTTCGTTCGTATGCTGGAAATGCTGTCTCGAATAAGACATTAACTTCACGATTCCTCGACGTTTTAATGGGGTTCCCTTCGCCCAAAAAATACGATCCAAGCGTAAATTTATCGCGTGTTTTTCAAAGTTCCATCGCGAGCTTGATATCGCGTTAACTGACGTTGACTAATGCTCTCAATAACACGGTAGCCCGAAATGGAATGGTTTAAAATCACGAACGTCCGAGGAAAATGGACAACGGTTGGCCATAATCATCAGCCGCATCTATTTTTGTTCACAGATGCGATGGCAATAGTCAACCAAACAAGGTCATGTTTTACTTGGCCGAGAAGCTGGTCCTGCTCGATGGATGCGACGTAGGGCTTTGCGACTGGGAATATTTCAAACAAAAGTTCAGTCCAGTTATTAATCAATGCAATCTCAATGTTTGCTGGAACGAGAATAACGTGTCAGCCATCGTTCCAAATATCATTCTCATTTTCGTTTTATGCTTTTCTCTAGTATTCATCAGGAAATAAAAAAAAAGCACACACATATCAATGTTAAATATCATCGGGTAGAATATTTCCTGACATTAAAAATTGCGCTTCGCGAATATTCCGCTGTGCTTTCAAATCGCCAAAGATGTATATTTAATGTCTTTACTTTCCTATTTTACTGCTGTATACGTAATTTATAAACATTTATCGTTGTCTATCGTCATCCTCATTTGTTTATATTCCACGGATACGTACGCGGATAAGTTGTATATTATTTATGCCATCCTTCTTTTTAATAACGTCCGTCCGACTCATAGTGGTTGCACAACTACACGCAGAACACAACTTTTGCTATCACACTATCTTACATGAAATTTAAAAGCTTTCACCGTTTACGATACGATTTAATGTAAAGTTCCGAATATTAAGCTTCTCTCCTTTTGTAACGTCGTATATTTTGTTCGTTTATATGTAACGTGATGTTTCATTCTTGAATAAAATATTATAAGAAACAAACGATTACTTAAATAAACGCGGGCCTCGCTGTATGCGTGCTAAAAAATACCTCATTGTGATAAATAGAATATATTTTATTAACAACAGTAAGAGTAATTAAAATTTAACGAATTAACCAAAACGTAAATCCTTTGAACGAACAAAACTAAATAATAGTTATTTATAGATGATTGCAGATGACCGTGCTACGCTGTGTATTAATTTCGAAAAGATCTTTTATTTTTTTTTTTTTCAAACACGTGACCTTACATCCAGTTTACACAATTACGGGTAATAGCGTTAATAAAATTATCATAATTGTAGGAATAATGAATCTTCAAGGATCATCTGCAAAATTCTAGGCTATGGTCAATAAAATTTGCATTGGGCGTGCAAATTACTGATAAATTGAAGACACTGCCAATTAGAATCAATTGGTTACTCCGCCTGCGTGTCGTTTGCAGGTGAAGTTCATTAACAAATGAATTCATCGATGCTGTTTAAACGTTTGCTTAATTAAAAAGCAGCGTGAATGCTTTAGTCTTTCATTTATAATGATGTTAGTACGGCGTAGAGAATAGTAAAAATAATTCAAAAGTAATCAGATAAAAGAAATTAAATGAAGGAATATCGATGATAAAAAGCAACGATAGAGTAGATTAGAAAATTATGTTTAGTAATACTAGCGATGCATCTCTCGATATCTAACATACATTTCACCTAATTGATTCTGTTATTATAGAATAAAGGCATCTTTTTTATGCTCATTTGATCCAAAGGAATGAGTAAGTGAATACAATACTGGTATAATAAATAATATACCAGCAATGAGTATTTATTATTTATTCAGTATTTTCAAAAATATATAAAAATATATCCTCAAAATCCTACACACTTTCGAGAAAAAAAATTGGATGCAAGGTCTACTCTTACTTTAAGAGTATTAATCTTGATTTTCGTCTTATTTTGGCCTCTAGAATTTCTCATTAATATTTTTTCCCAGGAGTGGTCGAACACCCTGTATACAATGATGTACGAAGTGTCTTTTTTTATACAAAACATTAACGCGCGTACGTATCAATTACTCTGTAATCAGATGAAACATTTGAAGAGGTACGTAAATTCTATCGTATGAATTAAACATGCATATCTTGCATGACGGTAATGCCACAGTTGGCACATATGAAATTGTTGCGTGAAAAAGTAACGCGAGCAAGAACGTTTATTGCATTCAGTCAATCGTCGACTTTCTACTTGCAGTTAAGGCGCTACTGCTATTCAAATTTACAGTACAGGTTAAAAAGAACAAAAAAAATACGAAATTTACGATTCTGTATCGGCTACAGATGTAAGTATTGCAACGTTGAACTCTAAACTTTAAGTAGAACGTAATCGAGCGCGCACACACACGACTATGAAAATTAATTCCGAATGTTTTAGAATTTTTATGTCATCGGTTAAATAAAGGAATTATCTCATGAAGACTACTTTAATACTATCAACGCTCCTTTTGACGATGCAGGAAATGAGTCATTCGAAATACTTGACACCCACCAGTCGTATACTCGAGGATGTTCTTCGGGCGACAAAACCTTTGGATGTGCAATTTGTTATCCAGGATCTCGTCGGTGGGAAACGCGACATCATCGACGAGATCTACAAATCTGTGTCACGAACTTTGCCTACGAGTTGCATTTCCTTGAACGAGACAATTCCGACGGAATTGCCGTCGTTTCGAGCGCATTGCTCAACATTAATTATATACGTCTACGTTTCAAAAACTACACCAGACGTTCGGGGAGAAAACGACATAGTGCGCGTCATCATATACGATGATAATCGTCCAAAAGTTTTGCTGATAACCGTTCTGGAGGAAGAAAACAACGATTTCGAGTCGCTTCTGAAGGAAATGTGGAGGATGAAGATCCTCCACGCGATGATTTTAGAACTATCGGAATCTAACGGGGACGTGACTGCAATGAGGATTCATCAGTACAATCCATTTATAAATGTCTACGACCGACACTCGTATTCGTCGAGTACGCGATGGTTCTCCAACGAAATGACAAATCTCCATGGTTATCCAATACGCGTCCACATTACCCTCCGATTAGGCCACGCGTATGTGAGGAGGAGTAAAGATGGGTATCCTTTGTATTATCGTGGCACGGATGTGAAATTTTTAAACATACTTTCTCGTACCTTGAACTTCACCGTCGTTATGGTTCCCTCTACGGAAGTACTGGCGCCTGTGAAAGAAGGAGCTGCTGAATTTGTGATAACGTCACTTCCTTTGATCGTAACCAACTACACGTCAGACCTTGCTTACACTTTGCCTGTAAAATTCGAAAAATGGTGCCCGACCATGTTCGTTACGTACAACCACAAAACCTACATGGCGCGAGCCTTCGTTGGGATAATTCTAAACTACGTGATCGTTTTTATAATCTGGGTGACATCGATTCTTATGAAATTCGATTTGAACCAGTGGCAGCCGCTCAAGATCTTTGGACTGATAATCTTCATTTCCGTACCAATGAAGCCTATGGCGCACGCCGAAAAAATCATGTTCATCGTCAGCATATTGGTTTCCTACATCTACACGTCGAATTTGTACGCGGATTTGACCACCGCGTACATGTACGTCATGAACGAGGTCGAGTACAAGAATTTCGAGGAGTTCGACAAATCCGGCTTAGTTCCCGTCGTCAGGAGTCAGCTTTTTAACGCAACATTCTATAACGACGACCAGGCCTTCGTCAGATTGAAGAAAAAGGCGATAACCACGGATTCGCTGATCGGGTGTATGAACACCATGATAGACCACAAGAATGTTAGTTGCTTCTTGGAGGTGACGGAGATAAATGCACTGATTCATCTTGATAGGTACAAGAGTCCACCGACTGTAAAGATCTGCAAGCACCTTTGTTACGCGAACCCACCGAATATATATTATTTTAATCAACACTCACCGTACAGAGGTGTCGTCACGGAAATTGTAATACGCGTGGAGGCATCAGGTATTCGAAAGATGTGGATCAATAATGATATCGGTAAGATGAAACGGACGAAGAAACAGATGAACGTTGGTACTAATCACCACAGTCTCGTGTTGAGTCTTGTTTATATTCTAACGTGCGGGTTTGTAACCTCGACATTAGCGCTTGTTGGCGAAATTATGATGTTTCGTTTGAAAAATAAGAAGCAAATGCCGGAATGACTTTTATTCTTAGTTTATTAGATTCGCGAAGCAACGAATTTGTGACTCGTTTCGTTTAAAATATATGCGTGGCTTGGAAATATAGTATCTTGGTATTTCTCTGATATCGTAGTTAGAAACTTTTAGCTTTTCGAAATTTAATTATTGGCTCACATGTGAAATCACATGCCCATTTATTTTATCGGTGATTTTAAAGCAAGCAGTGTACAAAAACTATTTTAGAATTTTATATTAGGGCGTGGCATATAGTTAAAAATTCGTGTTTATTGAAATTTACGTTTTTAACTTAATACAAGGTATTACGTAATCGCAAAATTATTTCATCGATTCGAGATAATTTGACACAGTAGCCAGTAGAATACACGTACGGGTGCAGTTTCTTTTTCGTATTTTACGACTGTGGGTGTTTATTTATAAGTATGGAAATAATCTAATATTAGGACCTTAGAACTTAATGATCCTGTACTTTAGCTGTGTCTTGAAACGCCAACTTATTTTCAGCATGTTTGACCTCATTGCATTGCTGTAGGATTTGTCTATGAAAATAAAGCACGTTAACAAATTACGTATTGTAAATGAATAATTTTAATGTATATCGATTACTGCACACTAATCACGTGCAATTTTGTCGAAATTGGTTTCGTTTTTCAATTAGTATCACAATCACAGATAATTCTATAAAATAAAATAAAACAATCACACGTGTGTAATTATAGTTCCTTTTCAATGGATCAAATCACGTGTAAATATTAACTATGAATTAAGTATGTATATAATTTTTGTAATATATAGTTTAATTATAGTTAAATTGAGGCACTACAGAAAACCCTCATTAGCGTTGAAAACCGTAAAATTTTTAAATATAATTTATTCGTATCTATCGCCGCAAAATCTTATATATATTGCATTGTTGACTAACGTTGGCTCGAAAATATTTATCTTACTTATTTACTGATATTATATTTTGGGACGAAAGTAAGTTTAACGTTCTTGGATCTGATAGACGGAAATTGATGTGACATAAACCTAGCCAAGGACTTGGAATGTTAAATCTCAGATTAAATATGGAACGCAGCAGCGCATGTTTCATAGTTTCGTGGCATATTTCACCGGTAGTAACGAGTCAATTAAGTTTTCCTTTATTTTGGATAGGAACAAATACCTAGACATCATTTCAAAAAGAATTGCTAATATAAGAGAACGGATGAAAAATAAAATAAATTATAGCTTCTTTGAGTCTCATTTTCTTCGACCTACTTAATCTTATTGTGTTTCAGTTATGTAAGTAAAAATTCTAGAAACCTATTCTAAAGTGTGTCTAAATTTTAAAATTAGTCGGTTAATGTTCGAAAACTTTTTGATTTGTCGCGTTTCTCTCGGAGGCAAAGTGCCTTTGAGGAGCGTGATAAAAGTTTTAGATCACTGACCGACTATTTTAAAATTTGAACACGTTCACGCGTGGGTTTTCAGAGTTTTGACTTACTTAAGTAGAACTTAAAAACTTTTAATTCCCGTTTCTCAATCACAATGTTTTAAATGGAATTTTTATTTAATAGTCGAAACGTGTCATGGGAGTCTTAACAAATTTTCTTTGTGTCATACTATTTTCGATCATAATGCTTTATTTATATGTTGGGAGTTAGAAAAGTCCCAAAGGCAATTTCGTCACTTTATTTTCGTCTTATTTTGGTCCGTAAAATGACACTATAAATATTTATCAGCAACAGGAAACACGTTACATAGTAATTCCTACTGTATTATTTTCTAATTATCAGACACAATACAAACACGGTAGCGCTATCATTGGACCGCAGATCTTTAAACAAATTCATTTGCAGGTAACTACGAAAGTGTAGTTGTTGATAATAACATCCAGCTAGGGCAGGGATATCTTTTTTGCTCCTATTCGGATACACTTCGTCGCACATTTTTCCCCGCCAGACCTTCCCGTTCATCAGTTTTCCCCGTTCCATTCCCTACGGCTATCCCCACCTAGGGAGTCCTACTCCCGCTGTGAAACCACGCAGCAAGTAGTCGGTGGCACGATCAGTGTCGGACCGACCGGCAGCTTGTGTATGTGGTGGAATCCACGATTACTTTCACGGTTTATTTCGAACGACCAGTTACACCGAGACAAAACCGGATAACCGAAGCGGGCGTCGAATGGAATCCTGGCCGTTTCGTCGTCGAACGATACCGCGGTAAAAAGATAACTGAGGTGAGCCACGTCGAGATACCGCGAGAACGATGAAACGGAAGCACGTGTCGACGGTTCTCCTGTTGAGTTGCCCACGCTCCCGTTCCGCTTACCGTTTTTAAACCGCTCGTGTCGTTTTATTTCGAGTCTTCGATCCTCCTTCGAGCTCCAATTTTTTTCCACGTCGACGACACCGCGTCGAAGCTTCGATTCGACGATCGCCAGCGATTATGGTTAAAGTTCGCGAGCGACACCATCCGACGGGGTTTACTTTTAACGCGTAACGCGGAGAACAATCGGAGTCGTATATCAGAGTATAACAGTCGTGGAACAAAGGCGAACGCGGGTGATAGAAGCGTCGTTGTTGTGCAATAGAGGCAACTTTTAGCCACCACTCGAGAATTAATGTTTGTTGTAATTGAACGCAGGGGCTCCGTTCCGTCGAGATTCTCTACGCGTGCACGAATGTTGTTTGTATTAGTCGAGCTCGGCCGTAACGAATGTGGGGGGATCGATTTCTTTGCAATGATCATTACACGCTTGTAACGATGGTGAGTGAACTGTGCATTCTATGTGTTTATGGTGTATGCTAGATATTTCGTTTTGCACGCGTGTAAAGAACAATGATAGTCTTTTTATTTCGATATTTTTCAAATTTCTCAAACTTTATATTTACGTACGCGATTAATTACATACTTGAAAATGTACGTAAATGTAAATCATTACGGCTTTTTGCTCGTTACGGCCATTATCTCGCTATGCTCGCGCTCGTTATAACTTTAATAATTACGTATACGATAATATCTTAGGGAAAATTAATCTCATACTCTTGCTGCCTCAACCAAGCTTTTGAACGTCGCTGATAAATATGTTAGAGTAATTTCGAGATGCGTGTAAGAGCTAGAGAGAGCTACTTTGTCCTTCCTAATCGTGTTCATCTTCACATGTTACGAGTAATTGCCCTAAGAAGATTGTACTAACGTATGATTAAGTGGAGATTAAGGGGATAATAAATTCGTACTAATCCACGGTAAATCACTAATGAGGAGCAACTGCAATTAAATACCCCCAAACATATGTATTACGTTGTATTTCACGAGAGAAAATTTCTCTGCAAACTACATGTTACAGTTACAACTTCTGAATCATGAAGCTTAGGACTAATTAAATAAAATGTAAACAATATTTTTTTACATTTTTACGTTTAAGCTCTGTGACAACTATGTTCCGTTTTATCGTACGATCATTTCATTTCTATTCGTAGTTGAACAATTATTTCTGAGCTATCGTTTAATCGATATCGAACATTTGAATTTGCACTTTGTACTGCCTAACAGTGACACACGATGCGATTTTAAAAAAATCGTACGAAATTTAACGAGAGAATATTATCTATTTCCATTACGAATCGAACGGTGTTCAATAATTCCAATATGTTTCGCACCCGCGTAAGAAAATTGCGAAGCTGCATTCAGGCAGATATAACACGCGATTTACGATAATGATAATTCATTCAAATCGTAGGGTATTCTGCTATAAAGCGAATCCAATATTAATAAATAAAAATTTGTCATTTCGAAATAGAGTTATCGAGGTATTTTTGTAAAATTGAGTAAAACTTTCGTTTACGTTTTCTCGAACTACCAAAAGAATATATTTTTTTTTATTATGATTTAATGAGAGACAGAGAGAAATTAATTATGTCTCGTGCAATGTAAGGTCAAAGAGCTTTTCGCGTGGCAGGTTTGACCAATGTAAATTCATCGATTTCACCACAGATAGGCGCCCCGCTGCGTTCTTGTCGGCTAAATTAGTTGCGATAATTACGACCGCATCACATGGCAAACAGCAGTTTCGCATGCCACGATTTGCTTTCGCAACTTGTAGATTGAAGGTGGGGTTGGGACTGGAAATTTCACCCCTAGGCGACTGCGGGTTCAATACTCGACTACCCCTTGTTTCTGTTCTCCAAGTAACTCACCACGATGCATTTCGTGAGCTCTGTTTTCGCTACACGTGCTATAATATATTCCCTCGGGGTGCAGATTTGTATTTATGAAGTCAACCTTTTATACTCCCTTCCCGTCTGAATACATTTTACTGTGACTAAAGGAGGAACACAAAATTTACTTGAACGAAGGTTCGTTTGATTAGCTATAAAAGAAGTTGGACGCGCTTAGTAAAATTTAAATTAAAGTAATATTACAGCATAGAAAACGTTTCTCTTTTACGTTCACCGTGTTTTTCTTCGACGTGAATAGCAGTTTCCATGTTAACGTGAATCATACCTAACTTAATATTTACAGAAAGCTCTTTAAATGGTAAGATTGTATAATTCATACGTGTAACACGTACCTAGCTTCTTTGTGCAGTCATTAAGATCGATAGCATTGCCACGAAACGACATTGACACGCTTTTGTCTGTTTCACAATTCATTCTGACGAAATTGCTATGGATTTTCAGAACGGATAGAAAGTCAGAGAAAATTGGAATATTTCCATTGTTAACTTTTGTAAAGGGTTCTCTGTACTGTTTGAATTTACTGTACTCTGTGCGCGCAATCCTGATCAAACCTGATTCGACTAAACGAAAATTTATACCGTGACTTTCGATCTGGTATGTCCAGAAAATGTTGTATTTCACATTCCAGATTGATAAAAATTCTCACGACAAATTCAGTTTAATTTCAGTATCGAAATAAGCGTACGAAGCAGTTAAAAAATTAAACAGTATGGCGCAACCATCGTTCTTTATTATTCTTGTAGCTGAATGAAACGAGGAAAACTTTAGTTGATTCTTGAATGTAACAATAACTTTCAACGGCTGTTAAGTTTACAATAAAAATATCGTTTTGTTATTTCTCACAACACACTTTAAGATCCTTCACCGTTTTTACGAAACAATAAATCATGAAAGTGCTCGAGCTAAAACGATTGTGTCCTGTAGGTTTCATTGCTCCAAGAAAGCGTGAATATTTGATTCAATGCTTACAATTGAAATGCGTTCCAATTGTTAATAAATTCAGAATTGTGTCGTGACCTTTTTTTCTCAAAATTTAACTTAAATTGTAATGTCATATATTTACTATTAATGATCTTATTTGAAAATGTGTTATCTAAAATATTACTTTTTCGTGTCACGTATGCATATTTATTCTAAATCATCTTTTACCCGACGTTTTATGCATATATGTGAAAATTTATGCCAAACAGAAACTATAAATGTGTTATAAACACCCTTAATAGTAGGAGCACCGTTCTGCATTTTATGTCTCATGCTTGAAAGCATAAGTGAGCTTTTCTGCTTATCCAGCCCGCGAAATCGTAAAGACTTTATGTCGTCTTTAGTCTACTTTAGACATCGTACGAGTAATGATCGGCAAAAACAATAAAGTGTGTTACGACTTTATAGAAAAAAAACGAGGTCGAACACTTAAGTAAGTTTCACTAATCACGTTCCATATACTGGAACTGAAAACGATGATAGTTCATACAAGAAATAGGATAATTCTTCGATCGACCACAATTTGTCAAACATTTAACGCGTAAGACAAAATTAATTAATTAATGATATTAGGAGGAACTGTTTGAAAATGTTGAGGAAGGCTGTTCTTCATTCGTCGAATAAATCACTGTAGTTTACTATACACGATTCGGCTAATATATTTGTAAATAGAGAGTTCTGTGAAATTTGGCATTCGTTCAACGAAATTAATTATTGCTTCTGTATCACGGAGATTCATTAACGATATATTTTGTTTTATTTTATTAGGAAACAATCTTTCGACGTCTATTTTAGAACACAACTACATATTATGAAACGTAACAGCACGTTTTATAACGTTATGAATCACTTGTTTAAGAATATTTTTGTCATCGCTCGGTAACGAATTCTGGCACACGTTATGTGTCTCTTTGAACGCAATGGGTGTGTATGAGAATTTCATGTGTACCCCTCGTTTGATCTTCACGCGTACCATAAATTATTCATTTACGACTGCTCTAAATCATCCATGAACTTTTCTGTAATCTTTGGAGGGGGCGATCGACGATTTAAACGTATTGTTTAATGCAGTACTCTAATGAGAGCGCTTCGTAAATCAAATTAAACAATCGAGCTATGGTGGTAATTTCGTTTATTATCGTTTAAACGATATATCGACGATAATACGACCAGTTGCGCGGTGTTTTCATACATAAACGTTCAGTGAACACGTGACAATTTACTTACACGATTCAATGTTTACTGCTTTGATAAATTTATCTTTCTGTTTATATTTAATAAGATAAGAGCAGTAGTAGATGCAAGTATTAATTAGTTAGAGTTCCTTTTTGCTACCTCGTTGAATCGTTCTGTTGGACGCAATAACGGTTATACTTGAAAAAATCGTACCACCGCGTAACTTTAGATAAAAAATGATTTCCTAAATTTATAGTACGCGTAATAAAAACCTGGATTACGCACATCGAGTATCGCAGACGAGACAGAGTCACTGACCAGTCTGTCGCGTTGCGAGACGCGGTCGCTACGAACCGCTGTGGCAGCAAAAATAATCCGAATTTCGCTGCCAAAATTCAACGGCACATTCTTGAAAGTTCGAACTTTCGAAAAATGTGAAAGAAAAAATAGATTTCTTTGGATCTCGTAAGTGGAACCCTTTGAAAGAGTTATTTATACAGCGCGTTGCTACAAAGTTGAGTCAATCAGTGTCAAATTCATCCGTCTGATAGTTTAAAAATACTTCTGTAACAATTGTTGGCCCCAGTACACGCTTAATAATTGTAATTAAAACAAAGTTTTAAGTATTTATTTCTTTCCTCTATTATAAAGACAATTTATATCATTTGTTTTGCTGCTCGTATTTATTACTAAATCAGATTTTAAAACAATATTTTAATTGTATTAATTTCACATGTACGCTTAACGAAGATGTTTAATGATAATAATAAACAGCTTTGAATGCTACACGGGAATTAAGTTTACCAGTTCTTCTTCCATCAGCGAGAAGAATTGAACGCCA